ACTAACTACTTAAGCTTGACATTGTTATTTTAGATTGAGTCACAAACCTTTACAAAATGTTTTTGTAAAATACTATAATCACAAATTTAAAAAATTATAGTTCGACACCAAAATTTATCTGCCTGAGGTTAGGATAAGATTGCACTGTTTGGTTATTTGTTTGTTTATCAGATTTTATCACTGAATATGGGTTCAATTCATCCATTCAGTTCTGTCCTTCTGCAGTCAAATGAATTTGAAACAGGCAGGCTTTACAAAATGTATGTGATGTTAAAGTTTATTGCATGACCAATATTTTGTGAAGCCATAATGTAATTTGTTTGATTTTGGCTTTAAAAAACCAGCCTTTTATAAAACAAGATTTCAAACTTTGTGATGCCATAACCCTCTAAAATATAAATAAATTGTTTGACAACAAAGCCACCCTCATGAATAATTAAGGTTGAGCAAGAAATAAATCATTACATTTTCATTTATAAACCAAATAAAATAATAATATAAATTTACAGCTTTATAAAGTTAACCTTTCACTGAAAAACAACAACCAATAAAGCAATCCAATCTAAAAAAACATATTCTATATGAGACGAATAAGTTTTTTTTGTTTTGTATCATTCCTACTTTATTTTTGAGAAAGATATTCTCATTTTTTGTTCCAAATTTATTTTTCATGACTGCATGCTTTTTATAGTAGCAACTAATCCTTATTTTGATGTCAGCTTATCCAGGCAGAGTAGAAACAAGTTGTCAGTGATCCAGCTTTGTTCACCAAAGGATTAGATATTGTTTGTGCATTAAAAAAAAGAAAGATTGCTGTTAGAACTTGTTCCCATCCTGCCTGAACAAGCTGACAGCCATCTTGTCAAAGCAAAACCCATCAGGTTTCTGAAAGCTGAGCTGGAATCTTGTCAGAACGTGCTTTGGACTTGATTAGGATAAAGCTGGCTGTCAGCTTATATCGAAGCAGAGTGGGAATAAGCTTTGGTAGTGAGTTTGTTTTCTACAAATAAGCCCCACAAAATCTGCAATTCCCATCAAATCTGTTTTTTACTTCCCTGGATGGTCTAGCTTATTCATAATGATTACTCCGCCTTTGTATCTTCTGTATAGGAGGGTGCATAGTATATATTTTCTGTTGCTTTTAAACAATATGTATATAAGAAGAGAGACAGAAAAAAGGTATTAGTATAGTAAAGTGGATTTCAGAGAGGTAAATTCAGTTCAGATTTTAATTGGGCTTCAGACAGCTGTTGAGGTTTCTACATGTGTACCAGGGAGCTTTTGATCCCACAGCAAGACCTCTGTGTTAATTACCCAGCCACTCACTCAGGAGAGTTGATCAAGAAAAAAATTGAATGTGATGTAACTATTGCAAATGTCTTGCTGGGAATATGTGGAAGGGATAGGTGTTTTTATGATTGGGAATAACATTCAAATGATATTTTACTTGTACAAAATGTCAAGCATGTTTTTTTTAAAGGATAGCTAGTTAATTTGAAGAATTGCCAACCAAATTTCAAACAAATTTGTAGAGGCTGCTAATTATGACAAACAATGGGTTTAAGCATGTAATGTATTATTGTGTGTTCTAGAACATATTTTAAACAGAACAAGAATAATATATCAGAATGAATTAATATTGGATTCACCAGTGCCGTAAACAAAACATGACACATCAGCATGCTTCATCTGAAAATCGTTACACATTGCAGACAAGTGTGAAATTTTATTCATTGGATTTATATCCAATGTTTCGTTCAGAAAAGAGTATTCTAAAATGTTTAGATTCTAAAATTTCTTTCCATGTATGGAGTTAATACAATGAGGTTTAAGCAATATCTAGAAAGCCTGCTTTATATTCAATTACTATTTAATTTATTCCAGGTGAGAATAAAAAAGGTCCTTATTATCCCAAAGGTCCTTTTTCAGAGAGAAACTGGGTTTTTCTTGTTTTTTCTTTGAAAACTTTTCACTTCTCATCAAAGAAGCTTCTTCAGCTCTGACTGGATGGTGGGGAATGGAAGGATTTATATACCTTGCAGACAGCACAGTGCCTCAGTGCCTCACTAAAAGGTTGCAAATTACCAGCTGTGCAGGGAATATAAATCCATTCCCCACCATTGAGTCAGAGCTGAAGAAGTTTGTTGTATGAGAAGAATAGAATAGAATTCTTTATTGGCCAAGTGTAGTTGGACACACAAGGAATTTGTCTTGGTGCAAATACTCTCAGGGTACATAAAAGAAAAGATACATTTGTCAAGAGTCAAGAATCATAGGTACAACACTTAATGATAGTCATGGGGTACAATAAGCAATCAAATCATACTAGGAAACAGTCAATATAGATTGTAAGGATACAAGCGACAAAGTTACAGTCATACAGTCATAAGGGGGGGGGATGGGTGATAAGGAGTGATGAGAAGATTAACAGTAATAGTAGTGCAGACTTTGTAATAGTTGAACAGTGTTGTGGGAGTTATTTGTTTAGCAGAGTGATAGCTTTTGGGAAAAAACTGTTCTTGTGTCAAGTTGTTCTGGTGTGCAGTGCTCTATAGCATCGTTTTGAGGGAAGGAGTTGAAACAGTTTATGTCCGGGATGTGAGGGGTCTGTAAATATTTTCACAGCCCTCTTTTTGACTCGTGCAGTATACAGGTCCTCGATTGAAGTGAAACATCTTCAAAGAAAAAAAAAGAGAAGTCCAGTTGCCTCCGGAAAAAGCACTTTTGGAACAACCATGACCTGGATTGACTGAGAATCTCCATAGGCAAAAAAAGCATTATAGTTCCAAAATTACAAATCAGCCTAATACAGTTAATCCTTGACTTACAACTATAATTGAGAACAGAATTTCCATTGCTAAGCAAGACAGTTGTTAAGTCAGTTGTGTCAGATTTTATGACCTTTTTTCCCATGTTTGTTAAGCAAATCCCTGCAATTGTTAAGTGAATTGCAGAATCGTTAAGGGAATCCAGCTTTCTCTATTGGCTTTGCTTGTCAGAAACCAGCTGGGAAAGTTACAAATGGTGAACACATGACCCCCTGTACAGTGCAACCATTGTAAATGCATCCAGTTGCCAAGCAACTGCATTTTGATCACATGACTTGACTATGGTCGTAAATATGGGAGACATTGTTAAGTCACTTTTTAAAATGCCACTGTAACTCCGAACTAAATGAATGTTTGTAAGTCAAGGATTACCTGTGTTTTTCAAAGAAGCTGCATGAAATTATAGTTATACAAGTTCAATGACTAGAATGAGTTCTGGTCACTTTGTCAATTTTTTTTTCTCATTTGTATGCATGTCTGAAATAATCAATTAGTAGCTGTAGTCTACTGTCTGGATTCTCAGACAGAAGTTACTGCTGTAACTACACATTTCTCTTAAAAGGTCAAGAAAACGGGGCAGGCCACATAAAAGTACTGCAGCTGCCTGATAAACAAGGACCTCTGTCAGCTGCAATGTTTCTTTACCTTTACAGACTAATTATCACTAACATGTACTTCCATTGTTAGCTTTAAAACTCTTTAGAATAACTACCACAAAAAGGAGTTAACTTTCCTTTATGTAGACTAAGAGGAAGTGAAATGTGCTGATGGATGAAGTGGAAGGATATTAACTTAGGAACCGCAAGAATGCATATTTATGTTCAGACCTAATTTACATGTGAAGGATTTGCACTTACTCTTCAAATAATCCCTTACTTCATTCCTCCCTTGTTTTATTGATACCAAATTTTAAGAAACAGGTAAGTATTTCCCACTAAATTGTCAAGCTATTATCACATTCATTTTGCCAAAAACATCCAAAAGGTGGTAATAGAATATTTTCGGATTCTTTCAAAATACTCTCCTCCATATCAAACTGTACACATGCATCATTTCATAATGGCCATCTGTGGCTGGGAAAATGGTTAAATGTGTGTTGTGATCTTGTGGTGCCAATGCGTATCCTTTTTATATTTCTGTTGCAATTACCTAAGGGTTGGAGCTCATATTGTGATGTTATGTTTCATACTTTTGATGTTATCAGCTTTTTGTATCCGTTCCTGGTCAATGCCTTTCTTAATTTAGACTTGAAAACAATTTTTAAATGTTTGTTTGGGAGAATATGAATTCATATTATTAGCAGTCCTAATCAATCTACTCCAGAATGAAGACTTCGTTTATCTATGTTTGCACAATGTGGGTTATAGATGGTTGTTTCTTCCTTCCCAGGCTAGAACTGCGCAGTCACCCAGCCAACTTCCATTCCTGAGAGAATTTGTATTTCCTCACTCCTGGTCCAACATCTTAACGCTTAACCATTACATTACATTAGTTCTCACCAGTTAGTATATTGTATATTATGGGATTTCCTCCATCACAGTGTATTGTATATTTCCCATAATGTATAGCATATTTGATCAGAAAGTTTCCCAAAACTTTTTGATCATACATGCAAAACAAAAGTATTGTGAGTTATCCAACAGGTTTACACCAGCTATTTCACTGAGATGCTTCTATTGTCATAAGAACAAAATATTTCTTCAACATCATATAAAAAAATGCTAGCAAATATCTTTTTCTAGCTAAATTCTTAGAGCTCTGTGGAGAATTGTATCTGCTATAATCAAATTAGCTTCTCAAGATGCTCTGAAAAAGATTTGGGATTGAAAAACTACTTCATCTATATATAATTATAAATTATAAATATATAATTATAAATATATGTTTATGTTACATAAAACAAACCTACGTTCAATATCAGCCAGGTGGCATATTAGAAATTTTAGTAAGTAATTATATTGAGATAAGGATTTCTCCCTCTCTATATCAGTAATATATACTGATACGTGTACTTCATGTCCTGAAATTTTGCCAAGTCTAAAAGCTAAACTTGGCAAAATTCTCTTGGGAGAGTTTTTAAAAAAGGATTGTGCTTGTTTCTGTTTATATGGGGACATATGGGAGTGTTTTAGATTTCAGTGCAATATTTGTTGTTGTTTTTTATACCTGCAGGGTTTAATGGGATATCCAGGACCAAGAGGGATACAAGGGGAGCAAGTAAGTAAAGCAATCATGATTTGATATGCTGTATATTAATCCCAAATATTTAATAAGCTCCTCATGCTTGCTTGGCGGGTTGTCAAACGTCTTTTGTGTGAATATGGGCCAATGTTTAATCCTGCACACCAATTAAAATCTCACATATCAGACAACTATTGCTAATCAAAATAAAAAGCAGTGATGTTGATGATGAGCTTGGCGATTTGGTTGCAAATGTTTTGTCCCCATTCGAGGAGTTCACTTTGGATTGGGATTGTCTGGGGGAGAACTGGCCTTTAAATACCTTTCTGAATCATGGCCTGATTTCAGATTGTGTGATTGACTGGCTATAGTTGCTAAGCCATTGTCCTTGGTTTTAAGTATTGTCTGTGTGATAAAAATTAGTGTTGTGTTCCGATGTCTTCTGAAGATGTCATTGTCTGGTTTAGGGTTGATTTGATCAGCTGCAGGTGATGTAGTCTGATTTCTTGGGATCTGTCAAGTTCTAACTTTATAACAGCGTGGCTGTTCGTTGGTATTTAAATGCTGTCTTCGGGATCGTGGTTGATGTTCTTTCGTTCTAAATGAAACTTACAACTGTTGTAACCCAGGCGAAGTCAAGGAGAGTAAGGGAATTCCTGGAAGCCTTATTTTCCACCAATAAATTAATATATTTATTTATTTGTTTGTTTGTTTATTTGTCAAGCGATTATAAGATAACGGGTATAAGTATAAACATAGTTATAAATACATGAAATGGATACATATAAGAAAAATAAAAAGAAACAATAGGACAGGGACAGTAGGCACGTTGGTGCGCTTATGCATGCCCCCTACAGACCTCTTAGGAAAGGGGTGAGGTCAATAGTAGATAGTCTAAGGCAGGGGTCCCCAACCACCAGTCCCTGGACCGGTACCGGTCCATGGAACAATTTCTACCGGGCCGCCGGTTTGCTGGGTGCCGCCATCTTGTTTTGATGAAAAAGTGCTTCCGGTGAGCTTTTCTGGGTAGAAAGCGGCGTTTGGGTGCTGAAAGAATCCTCGCCTTGCCATGCGTGCTGATGCCGGTACCGGGCCGTGGATGATTTTGTGATGCCGGTACCGGGCCGCGGCACAAAAAACGTTGGGGACCACTGGTCTAAGGTTAAAATTTTGGGGGTTTGGGGAAGAAACCACAGAGTCAGGTAGAATATTCCAGACATTGACCATTCTGTTGCTAAAGTTGTATTTTCTGCAATCAAGTTTGGTGCGGTTTTCCTTGAGTTTGTATCTATTGTGTGCTCTTGTATTCTTATGGTTGAAGCTGAAATATTAATTGATAGGAAGGACATTACAATGTATGATTTTATATACTATACTTAGATTGGACCAAAAGTGGCGTAGTTCTAGGTTTTCTAGGTCTAGAATTTCAAGTCTGGTGGCATAAGGTATTCTGCAAGAGTAGAAGAGTGGAGAACTCTTCTTGTGAAATATTTCTGGACTTTCTCAGCTGTGTTAATATCAGATACGTAATGTGGGTTCCAGATTGATGAGCTGTATTCAAGTATTCAATATTCAAGTATTGAATACAAGTATTTAAGTATTGAATTCAAGTAAGATACACTGACGTGACCCAATCTACCAACCACTTAGAACAAAAGAACAACATCAACCACAATCCTGAAGGCATCACACAGATGGTATTTAAAACCAAGGACTATTACTCAATAACTATAGCCAGCCAATCACACAACCTGAAATCAGGCCAGGACTCAGAAAGATATTTAAAGGTTAGTACTTCCTCAGACAATCACAATCCAAAGTGCATTGAAGATGTCTCCTTGAATGGGGACGAAACGTTTGCAACCGTATCACCAAGCTCGAAGCTCAAACAAACAACATATCAACTCGAGCTACTAATATTCAAAGACATTTCAAAAAGCAGTGAGCAGGAGAGATGAATCACTACTAATTGCTTAGATATTTATGACAATGATTCAGAAGAAGGCAACGTCTCTCACAGTATTTTAAAACAATGACAGCATGTTCAACTGTTACAGATTTTTAGTTGATTTCAACCACAAAAACACACATTAATTCATTGCATTTAAAAACATTTGCAAATTGCTAAACTGTCCAATTGTTCTTTGAGAATAATAGAAAATAGAATTTATGAAAAAAGAATAAGTGATAAGTAACAGGCTGCCTCTTGCTGTTAAAAAGGAAAGTAGAGAAATTATAACTATATCACCATTCACAAATCTGTCATTAACTCCAACACTTCAGAAAATTTTGAGTCACTAAAAATAGGCATTAACCCCAGCTTTTGAATTATTTCATTAGGATATTTGATGAGAGTTGGAGTTGATGGCATTCAGTTGTAGATAATCAACCTGTTGATACTTTCATTTCAATCTAAGCCAGGGGTGTCCAACCTTGGCAACTTTAAGACTTGTGGACTTCAACTCCCAGAATTCAGCAAAGCTGGCTGAGGAATTCTGGGAGTTGAAGTCCACAAGTCTTAAAGTTGCCAAGGTTGGACACCCCTGATCTAAGCAGTCATACAGCCCTAGCATTAGTGCACTCTGTGCACTCTGCTTTATAAATCTCACTCTTTTGTCTAAAGAAAATGTACGATTTCTTTTATTTTTTTCTATACTCTTAAAAATTTCCTAAAAAGCCAGGTTTATCTATTTTTCAAGACCCTACAAAATGGCCCTGCTCTTTACCTCACTGCTTTTGAGTTACACTCTCCGCTGCTTACTTGAGTTATGATGCTGCATACAGAATATATTTTATGTAATCTTAAATGAAGAGTGGATTTGTAATGAATATTTTATACTTACATAGAGGATTAAAGTGTATTTTTCTTCTTCTCAATTTAGGGAATTCTAGGAATGACTGGCAACCCTGGGGCTCTTGGTTACCCTGGCAGGCAGGTGCAGTAACTATACTTCAAGCCTAAATTACCAGAAAAGATAATTGAAAAAAATAAATCAAGATATCCTTATCTAATTTTATTTGTTGTATGCTATTTAATGTGTGTAGTTTGCATCCAAAGTATACTTATTGCACATATAAAAAAGTGTAAGGTTCTTCTAGAATTAATCCTATAATAGAAATATTGACATTATATCTAATGATCAAAGAAACAAACAGGTTGAATTTTTAGAAGAAACATAAGTCAGAATTCTAGAGTCCTTAGTCTGAGGCATCCATTGCTTTAATTTGGCTTGTTCCATCCACAGTAAATATACCATTGAGATCTTGAATCAGCACTGTTTTTAAAAACGTGTTCTCAAGTGCTATAATTTTCATAAAACAATGAACCATTCTCTCTAATAAACTATAGAAGTGTCATAAAACTTTTCATAAACAGAGACTTCAGTCCAGAATATAAAAACTATGCAATATACGTTTTTCTATTAACTAAACTATCCAAAACTATACAGTTGAAGGGAAACCATTCTCTTACTTATCAATATTTCATTCTAAAAAACCTTCTAGTTTTAAAATGAAAACATTCCCAATAGTATAATTGAAAAAAAAAAACCCTATCATGTTTTAATACATGTATATCAGAAATCAGTACTGATTTAACATAGGTAGCTATTTATAAAAAAGAATGTAAGAAATAAGAATTAGCACTGGTATAATTTTTGCTTTTTCAGTAATAACAGTGATGAACTAAAAAAAAGTGCAATGAATAGAAGAGGGACAAATGCATAGGAATTAACAGCTGTCTTGTAGGGTGGATTTCTTTGTTATGGTTCTGCAAAAACACAAACTTAAGAATACTTAGGGCCCATCAGAGGTAAGAAAAAGGTCAGGAAATTAGCTTCCAGCTGCATAAAAAAAAATTCATATGATGCTTAAAGATGAACAGCTCCTTGTGTTGCATTAATCTCCTTACTGATCTTTATAGAGAGAAAAGGGAAAGTTTTTATAACAAAAATGGAAATATAATTGTCTGGATTCCTTATAAAATACAATTAATATGACATGGGCGATTTCAAAAAAAGTTTTCTCATCCAGATACTCAGATTAGTTTCAACTTTGTTTTTAGCTTCTGTAGCAATAGTTAAATAATAAACTATTATCATGGACATACAGAATTAAAACTTTACGATACTGTTTCATAGTTGATTCCATAACTCAATAGCATTATGCTAGCCATTCTTAAGGAGCAAGAATTTAAAAGATTTGGGATGGGTATATTGGTATTATGTTGATTGGGAAATATATGGAATCACATCCAAGCTTATTATTTTATTGAAGTAAGACTGCAATTCTCATGAATGTTTGACTATATCAAAAAAGGAAATAGTACCCATACCAAAGGAATTATGTATCTTTTACAAGCCCTTTGAGGGCCATATTGTATGTACTGAATATTGACTGTTACAGACATGATTTCAAAAAGCATGTTAACCAACATTGCAAATTAATACATTTAACACCTTTTAAATATATTGTTTTCTTGTTTGGAAAATAAAAGACATGTTTTCTTGTGCTAGGGTTTAGCAGGACCCGAAGGTAACCCAGGCCCTAAAGGTGTAAGAGTAAGTAAGCATTATATGCATGGCTTTGTTTGCTCAGCCATAATTTAACATAGGACTAGAGATATTTCATGCAAAGTTACTCTTTCTCTACTCACTGATTAATCCTGATTCATAAAATGAGTTTCATTAACATGCAGCTTTTATTCTCATCGTCTTCAATCTGTTCATGCTAATCCTTCAGTTTTTGGATGTGTGCATATGTGAATAGAAACCTTTTCGTGCCTGTGGTTTTATATTAAATCCTGATATACTATTTTGTATCAGAAGACTACATAAATAAGGGCATGCTTAGGTGACACTATTCAGGCTCTGCCTCTGAAGTCAAATAAAATCAGAAGGACAGGTAGTCCTGGACTTATAGATTACTTTAGATCAAATTCTGAAGTTATGACAACTTGCCCCATAGTCACATGACTGCATTTTATGTGCTCAGCAGTTGGTCCATATTTATAGCTGTTTGTAGCATCCCATAGTCACATTACCATGTTTTACAATGTTTTTACCCCAAAACCTGACATTTACTTCCATTTTTTGGCAAAATGAGCTCAGTGTGAACAATTGGTTTATTGTGGTGTTTACTTAACTATTGCAAAAAGGTCATAAAATTGGTTTGGTCATGTGGTGACTTGTTTTATGACCATCACAACTTACTACTGTGACAGATAAGCTCCATTAAGGTCATAAGTTTCCAAACATTATGGAAACAACCAGAATGGGACTTCAGAAATTATAAAGTTTATTTTTTAGTTGTGTTGGTAAGCTTAAAAGTTGAATATAATGTGTTGGGGAATAAGTTTCTCATGTTCTTGTTTTTCTTATTTATAATTCCAAAGGGTTTCATTGGACCTCCGGGAGTGGCTGGGAATCCTGGACCTGAGGGAGAAAGAGTAGGTTTTATAGAATATAGAATACATTGTTCCACCCACAATAAATATACCATCGAGATCCTGAATCAGCACTATTTTTTAGTTTTTTATTATAGGATTCATATTTTATGGAAATTTATATTTCAACCCTGTTGAATGATTGCATTGTGCATGGGAAATAGTCTTAAAATCTGTCTAAAATGAGCAAATCGATTGTTATTTGATCTGGCTGTAATAATTATATTATAATTTCATTGTGTTGCCACTCACGCTTGCTAGTCTGTTTCCAGACCAGTTCAGACTTCAATTCTTTTAAATTCTTTCAACAATTTAAGCCAGTTTATATGAAGAAACTTCTCTTCCCTGGAAGACCCCTCTGTCATAATCCTTACTGAAGTCTAAATCGAATTAAATAAACCAACATGGTCCATATAATTGTTTAATCTATTATAAATGGGATGACTCGTGATCTTATTTCTAAGGGTATCTTTGGTGTCCTCAGTTATTTTGCACAGTAGGACTAACTATTGACTACACAGCAATGTGGGTAAATCATAAGAATTAAGAATGAGCTTTAAAAATACAACCCTGAATATCATTTGTGGTCCAAAATGGGCAAAATGAAAAAGTGATCAACACTTATGAAAACAAATGTGAGTAAGCTGAGGCATCTTTGCTCAACCAAAACTATTACTCGTGAAAGAAATCCAATGTAACTCTCATTTGGTAATAGTAATGATGAATAAGCACAAACAATATAACATGAAAGAACAATAATAGCAAAAATAAACCTGTAACTTCTATTGAAAATTTAAATTTTGTTATTTTTTTCAGGGTATTCCAGGTTTACCTGGAAAAAGAGGTATAAAGGGGAGAATAGTAAGTGGCAAACATTTATTTCATTGTATGGTATCATTTATTGATTGACAGCTCAGTTTATACAGGTTAGACTTATTTCTAAATATAATGAAGTGCTTCCTGCAGATATATAATTATAGGATTACTGCATAAGATTTCCAAAATTCTGGATGACCATAGATGGCAGCAAAGCAACACAGAAAGCTGTAACTCTATGCTGCCAATTTATGAGTTGTTCAGGTTTTTGCAGCTAGGGATCTGGTTTCCTTATTGCACCTTAAATGTTCTTTGTATATTCTGCATTAAAGGGGTTAATTTTAATTTAATTTTAATAAAATTAATTTATTTACTATTTATATTTTTTTCTTTACATGAATTGTAAATCAATTTGTAAGAAAATAGAGCATAACTGGGGAAGATGGGCAGATCCATAGTGAATTCAGGAAATTCAGTGTGCTAAAACTCAGTGCTTTTAAATTATAAAAACTTCAGAAACAACATTGGTCAATAGTATGTGTCTTTTTCTTTGGGAGGCAGTTTCAGACAGACGCTACTTAATTGAAGAATTAGATACAGACTTAGTTCTCAGTTAAAGAATAGATGCCTTTTAAAGAGGGTCCAAAACTCTTATTTCAATTACAAATTTCCTGATGATTACAGAAAATACATGTTCACATGCCCTATCATCTTTCTTTTAAAACTTTCTTACATTTTGCAAATGTAAGCAGGTATGTAAGTTTCACAGGTATTAACCATAAAAATTCTTTAAAGAAAGATAGATAACTTCTGGGAAGCCAATTGGAATATTTGTTTTAATAATGCCAATGAAGGGGAAAAAATTTCAATCGATTAGTTTTATTAATAAGGAATTATAATCCAAATTATAATCCAAATACCAGAATGAATGTTATGCTAAAATATTTTATACTTCCAAATTCGTATTTTTCCATAAGTATGTACATTACATACCAACTAGCAAATTTTAGTATATGTTAAAGTTATAGCCACCTGGATTATATATGATACATAGATTTTGCAAACTTCATATTAGGCCAATGGGGTAAAGGCTTTTTATAACTAAAATTAGTATGATAGAAAATGCTTACCTGTTGCTGTAATTACAAAAACAATGCATTGTTACTTCTAGTAAAATGTGAATAGGCTTCTTTCTTGGGTAGTAGTATTAAAGTTGGTGGCGTTTAACTTCCTCAAACAATTGCAAAATATACTAATAGTAATTTATGTGCGAGTGTGTAATATATGTGTGCGCTTGTAAAGTTACATAGTAAGCATTTGGACATGTGGAATTAATTGTGGCTGTTTGGGGAACTGAACATTGTTTTCTTAGCCTTTTTAAATGAGTTAAATTTGATAAAGTGTTGCCTAAATTTGATATTAGTGTTAGCCAGCCAGAGAGACCACTAACCTTGAAGTACAACTGGTCAGCATTACTTGATATTTTTGATACTATTTTAACCCTTGCTCCAGTGGTGGAAATCTACCAGTTCGGCCCAGTTCTGCAGAACCGATAGCAGCGATGAACAGTGGAGAACTTTTCTCTCCACCACTCTGCTGTTGTCTTTTCAGTGATTCAAAGGCTTTTAGCTAAGGAGCAATACAGGATTCAAGGAAAGGATGCCCTTTTATCTCTTCCCTCTTTCTACAGTAAAAGTGTCAGCTTGTTAGATTAATAAAAACTTGTATATAAAAGCTGCTAGATTTCAAAGCATGATTGTGCCGTGTCCTCATACTTGAAAGTTACTCCTATTTCGTTATCTGTTGTAAACCTGTACTTTGGGTTTTCTGCTAGGATAGGCACATGCTTATACTGTATTCACTTAACATTCTATACAAGACTTCTATAACCCTGAGGTTCTTGCTTCTGGTTTGTTTGAGTGGCAGGAAACCTGTGAGTCACTGTAACCTACTAGCTTTAGAACTAAGTTGGATGAGTTCTCTCGGGTTTTCAGTGTTTCTTTAGATAGGTGAATTTTGGTGATCATGTGACCATGGGATGATGCAACTGTCATAAGTGTGAGCTAGTTGCCAAACACCTGGATCACGATTATGTGACTGTTTAGGTGCTAGGCTGTCCAAAATTTTGAGGACAAGTTGTTGTAGTGCCACATGTTCGGTACCATTGTAACTTTGAATGATCGCTGAGTGAATGAATATTAACTGAGAACACTGTTACCTTCCCACCAAAGTGGTACCTATTTATCTACTTACATTTGCATGCTTTGGACTGCTACTGATGGACAGAGGTGGGGCAAGGAATAGAGCTCACCCTGTTGTATGGCCCTCGTATCTCGAACCTGGGCTGCCAGCTTTCCAGCTGACAAGCTCAACGTCTTCAATCCCCTTCATCCATTAAGTTAAGTTGATGTAATGAAACAAGCACATTAAAAGTTTCATCCTGAAGCTGCTTTGAAATACATAAATGTATGGCTGGTTATATGGATCTTTGGTTATTCGGGTTTTCTCCCACGTAAAATTGGAACTATCTTGGCGACATTTCGACGAAATCTCATTCGTCATCTTCAGGCTTGTGTCTTTAGTTTTGTGCTTCTCCAGAGTAATTACTCTGGGGATTACTCCGAAAAGCACAAAACCGAAGACACAAGCCTGAAGATGACGAATGAGATTTTTGTAAAAACGTCGCCAAGATAATTCCAATTTTACGCGGGAGAAAACCCGAATAACCAAAGATCCACATAAAAATACCCGCAAAAACCTCAGAAAACATACATACATACATATATATATGTGTGTGTGTGTGTGTGTGTGTGTGTGTGTGTTTTCGTAGATTTTCATGGGTACAGGTATGCAGGTCTTGGCGTGTTCGGGTCTTTTCCCGAATACACACACACACACACACATGCAGTATCTACACACACACATGCACACACACACACTCTTAACTTCAAATCTGAACTTCAAATCTGTTGCGGTAAAAAGCATTTTATGTTGAATGATACAAATGATTTGTTAGTGTGTTGCATGACCATTCACATATGTCAGATTTTATGGGAAGCTGCTGAACCAAAAACACCCCATCCTGAAAAAATATTTGCATTTTCAAAGATGCCAGAGAATAAGAATATAATTATTACCAGATTATTTTTATTAGTATTACAATACTCTTTTGCTGTTTCAACCAGGGATTGCCAGGTGATTTTGGAAACAGAGGCCCTCCTGGTCCTGACGGAAGCCCTGTAAGAATGATATTCTTTATTTATTTATTAGATTTTTATCTGTCTTTATTACTTTAACTCAAGTGGCAAACGTACTTATCGCTTTCATTTTCCCCACAATAATCCTATGAGGTAGGTAGGTCTGAGAGAGAGCCAGAGAGCGAGAGAGAAAGACAGCAGGAGAAGTGAGAGAGCAGCTGGTCCAAAGTTATTCAGCCAGTTTTTCAGCTTCTATCTTAATTTGTACATCAAAACCTGTTGATGTCATGTGCTTAATAAAAAAGAACTTTAGGATACAAAATGTAACCCATTTTGTGACCTTTTTCTACCTTCAGAATTTCAGATATTAGTGGGGACATAAAGTAGTTTTTTTCAGTTTATTTGTTTGTTTGTTTGTTTTGCATTTTTTTAAATTGCTGAAGGCTTGCAGAGGTATGAAGCCCCAATTTTACTTCCTAAATCCAGTCCCTAGTGTGTGATCTGCCATGCAAAGCAAATGTTCCCTTTGAACTTAAGGAAACTGCATTTCTGACAAGACACAATACAAAAGGAAATAATGTATTTGTAGATAACAGGGTACAACTCTTTTGAAAATAAGATGCTGAATTTAGAAGTGTCTTGGTTTTTTTTAAATATAGCATTGTTTCTATAATTTTCTTGTGTAGATTAAATGTGCAGTGGATTGTTTCTATGTTTATTTGAATCATATATGAAGACATATGTTTATTTTCAATGGCATAACTTAACTTTTTCAAAGGGAAATGTTGGTGGAGTTGGTCCTCCTGGATTTCCTGGACTTAGAGTGAGTATAAATTGTTGAGAAGCTCTTCCTAAGCTTAGGTTAAGTATTTCTACAATTTGGTATAGGTACATGTCATATTCAAATGATAGTTATTTATACAACTCTTTAAAGATACTTTCTATAATTTCATTATTATTATTATTACTAATATTAATACTAATAATACTAATAATAACAACAACAACGACATTCAATATCCATGTAGATAGTGTGTTGTCTGATTACCATTCCTTTGAACAATACTCAGCATCATAATAGTGATGATTTTCTCTAGGTATAATCTTACACTACCAGTAGTTTTCCTTCATAATATTAATACATATTAATTATTAATACTCATTAGAATTAATAATAGCTTATAGTAATCAACCATAATGATAAAATTAATCTTTTTCTTGTAATTTTAAAAGTTCTAACTTTTGTTTCTCTTATTTAACCATCAATAGAACAAATCTCATATACTTTCTTACAGTTTCTATAATTTCATGCAGTTGTTTGACTATTTAGACTTTTAAAAAAAATTCCTGTAAATAAGTGACTAATTTGAATCTTGGCCATTTTAGTTTACTATAATGCATACATAATATAAAGCTGGGTTTCTGGCCAGCTATTCTACTGATAAAGGGCTTCTGTCTGACTACAATTGTATAATTTTCAGCAAGACTTGTATAAATAAGAACCATACACCACAGGACTACATGGACAAATTTGTCAAACAATTTTTAAAAATTAATTATGTTTTTAATTCTGAGTACAAAAAAAATGACATACTTAGCAACTGTGCATGGCTTCCCATCAAGCTGGAAGAAGTGTCAACTGTCATTCAACATAACTATAAATTACTTGGATGAGGGTTAGAAAGTAAGGGTTTCTCACCTAAGAAGCTTCTTCAGCTCTGACTAGAGAGTGGGGAAAGGAAGAATTTCTGTTCCTTGCAGACAGCTGACCTATTGAGGCCACTTGGAGTTTTGTCTGTGTTCTCGAGGTCACCTGAATCATTGGGAAGTTGAAGCTGTGCTTTCTGCAGAATGTTTTCTGCCCTGTGTCTTTTCACTGTTAAACATAGGTGCAGGCTATTGGGGATAAGCCTTTGTTGTCTGCATCTCAAACTGAAGCACAAATGGTTCCTATAGTCTGCAATTTTTCTGGAAATCCGCTCATATTCCCGCTCCATTCGAAGGGTGTTCATCCCAAAGTGCATAGCTAATTGTTGAGATTCTCAGTCATCCATGTCATGGTTGTCCCAAAGGTGCTGTCAGGACTTCTTTGGTCTTTTTAGTTGTCAGGTGCTTTTTCAAGAGGCAGCATTGATATTTCCTTGCAGATAATTAAATATATGCAAACAAACAACCGTGCTTAGAGACCACCAAGGACTCAACTTTGAATTACAGTTATTCTCTTCTAAATTAAATTTAGGATAATTCAGTATGGATCGGGGGGAGGGGGGAGAAGCAAACCTGTGAGGCATGAGAGTATACCCTCAAAGTAATGCAAAGAAACATAGGTTTATTTATTATATTTTTGGGTTTATTCATTATATTTTAGGGTATTGTGGGAAAAGCTGGACCATCTGGACTTCCTGGGATTCCTGGACCTCTGGTACAGTATTGTAGAGCTATACAAAGCCTGGTTGCTATTGTAAATAGTGAAAGAGCCTTAAATGCTATTCTTCTTTGTTTTCTATAGGGTCTTCCAGGGAGTATGGGGCAACCTGGATTGAAAGGTGATAAGGTGATCTAAATAATTTCATTATAAAAAAATTTAAAACTTTGAATCTTATCTATAAGAACTTTGTCTGACTTTTTAAATAAGATCATCTGAATTTTATTTGCCAGAAGCTCCTCGTGTGATTTCTACTGATCACATCTAATATTTTAATGATTAAAATTATCTTGTTTTATTAGCTGCTTTAGTTATTAGAGCCACTGAAGTTTTATATAGACAGACACATACAGACACAAGCACAGACAGAGACAGAGAGACAGACAGAGAGAGATTGAAAATGCAGGACAATATATTAATCTCTAAAATAATAGCAAACATGTTACTTCTGTGTTCATTAAACATTATAAAATGTGTTACTTATAACTCTCTTATATTTGGAATGTACTGTAAAATAATACATTGATAAAATTATATCCTATAATGCCTTTGTAGGGTGAACAAGGCATTACAGGAGAGCAAGGAGAAGTGGGGTATCCAGGAGACAAGGTAAATTCAAAAGAACTTCATTATATAAAGTTTATATAGACTTTACAATATGTACTCTGCAGTGTCCATTGTTTCAGTCTCATCAAGTTATTGATTCATGAGCGCTATAATAATCTGTATTGTGTCTGTAACCTACAATTGGGTGCAATTAGAAAGTATAGGACAACAACTATTGAAACAAGGTCAAATGGGCTAACTTATAGAATGCTTGAAATTTAGGAGAGTTTTAGCCACTTCAATGCCACCAGTGTCTTCTAACTTTCTTTCCCAGAAACCTGAAGATTATATGGCGCAAGGGAAGAAAGGAGGGTCACAATTCGATTTATTCTTTCCATCTCCCTCTGGCCCCAGCAATCAGATGGTGGCAAGGGCTGAGTGAGTGGCGATTGGCTGCTTTGGAATCAAGGCTGATATTGGCAACTGCTTAATGTTAGTGGTTAGCAAAGGAAGGACTAGACAATGACTTGAATTCATGTTGAAGCACATTGACACTCACAGGTACATTTCTGAAACAGATCGTCCATATTATCACAAAAAATCTTGACCCACAGAGGTTTTAAAGATGATAAGTATCAAGAAGAAGAACATGAAAGTTCTTGGATCTTTCACTTTTAACATTCTGATTGCTGTTATGTAATGAATTAATGACTACATCACCCAGAGGTTCAATCTTTTTGGCCTGGTGGGCACATTTGGAATTTTTGTTGGCATTCTTGCAATTATGCTGCTGAATGAAGAAAATGCCCAATCACAAGTAGCTAAGTAGCTGCTATGAGGACACAGCCAGTTACAAATACCAATTTATTAGAAGTAAATCTCTCTTGCATAATACGTCCTATCATATGCTTACCTTGCTTCTTTTCTGATGAAATGGGCATATTTAGAAATAGTACACTATGGTATAATCTAAAAACTCTAGTACCTTGTCCTAGGTACTCCTGCAGGATGCATGTTAGGAAAAGACAAACAGGGTTAGATTAATATGATGCGAATTTTTTTCTAAGAATGACGTAATGAGAGAGAGAGAAAAAAATGCACTCCAATCCAGCTTGTAATGTAATACTGCTATTTTTTACTCCGACCTACAGGATATATGTTCCGTTAACAGAATAGAGTTAGGTAAGAGCAGAAGGGAAGCTAAAGTATTTTTCTTTGATTTAAAATGTTGCCATTAAAATAGCTTGGTCCCTACCAATGGATCCCCCAAAAAGGAAATACCAATATCTTATTTTATATAAGTTTCACTTGTATTTGTAACAGTAAGTATCTATGAAAAAACCAAAGTAATCATTATATTTTCCTGAACTGTGACTTTCAAATGAAAGGACAGAATAAAAATATTCTTTAGAAAGAATGATAGCATCACCTTCCTTCTGTTTTTAATGGCAGAGTGCAATTATTCATGTTATTTTAATTTTAGCAACTCCTGACTCTTTTCTTTTCTCAAAAGGGTGCTGTTGGTTTGCCAGGGCTTCCAGGAAATAGAGGAAAACCAGGTCCCTCGGTATGTTTTAATAGCTTTGGGAAGATCATAAATCATGATCCCACAACTCCAAGACCGCTTCAGTTGTTGTAAATGAAAACCGGTTGCCAAGCTCTTGAATTTTGATCACATGACTGCATGGATTGCAGTAGTTGTAACTTTGAGGACAGATCATAAGTTACTTTTTCTGAGGCCATAATAACTTTGAACTATTATTAAATGAACATTCGTAAATCAAGGACTGACTGTATTTTACTTCTGAACTAAACTTTATGTATTACTGGAATAAGATACATTTCTGTTTTATAAGAGTAATCACTTATAATATTTAAACATAGATTAATATTTTTTTCATAGCAGAGCCACTTAACAAAATAGGCAACCTTAATATTTAATGATTTGGCTTTTGGTAAAGAGTAGCATGAAAATCTATTTTTATAAATCTATTTTAATCAAATTTATTAATCATGTGCCTTCCAATTGCTGTCAACTCTTATTGCCCATATAATCAGACTTTCTCTGGAATGTTTTAGTCAAGCAATATGAAGTAATTTATTGGTTTCGAATTCATCTGTATATTTATAATCTTAAATTTAATAATGAGATGCATTTACTTTTTTATAATATAATGTACTATAATATTATTAAAAATGTATTATCATCACTACTGATACTCTTTGTAATTTTTTTCTACTAATCCAGCAGTAATTTCCAAAAGGCAAAGAATTTTCTTATTAAAATCAACAAGATTCAAATGCTGGATATAAAAAAAAAAAGCACATTATAATACAATTTCATTTTCTTTACCTCTTAAGAAAAACTTGGATTCATAATACAGGTTCTAATTTTAGGGCAAAATGGGAGATCCAGGACCTCAGGGACCATCAGGCCCACCTGGACCAGAGGTAATCGACTAGTTACAATCTTTCAAATTTGCACACAGGCAGTCCTTACTTAATGACGAAATTGGGACTTTCAGGTGTTTTGGTAATAACTTTACAATTTTAATTCTGCTTTCTCTATTAACTCTGCTTGTTGTAAGGAAAAACACACAAATCGTGGGCATGTGATTGTAAGATGCTGCAATGTTTTTAAACGTGCCTCAGTTGCATGGGATACAAATGTTGATCATGTGGCCATGTAACATTGAAAATGTGACGATTGGTCACAAGCTTTTTTTTGTGATAACTTTGAATGTTCATTAAATGAGACAATCAGTAAGTGAGGACTAACCTATATTAATATATTAATTGGTTAATAAAATATTAGTAATAAAGAATAAAAAAACAGACCTAAGTCTGCATTGAAAATTTCTTGGGAACTTTGTTTTGAATTCCAGGATGGAATACAATAATTTTAAATATCAGAAATCAGTAATTCTCATTGATTTCACTTTCTGAATAAATTATTGTTCAGTATCTGTCACCTGGAAATGTGGATATATTTACTGAAATTGTACACGGCTAATGTACAGTACACCTTTATTGTTATAGTATTGCTAAAATGCATCCAAAAATGTAGTTCTAAATATAAGATCTAGATTTATTTCATGAACAGTAGATACAACTAAGTTGCTTATATGTAGCAAAAAATATCATGGTTTAGAAAGACAAAACTGATTTAATGTATCTGAATGGGTTTGGAGGGTTTATGTTTCTCAAACAGCAGGCTGATATGTAATGTTATGGATAACTTTTGGAAGTGTTTTTAAGATAATATTGATGGATTGTCGTTTGAAGGAAGAAAATTAAATATCGCCAGATTGTCTTAGAGCCTATTTAAAAATGTTTTTGAAGCTAAAAATAATTTTAAGTCATTGTATTTGTAATTCAGATGAGTTTTGTGAAACCGGCTTTATGTTTCTTATTATTAGGAATGTTTTATTGTTAAACTCTCTGGTAATAGTAATTGTCCCAAAACTGTTTGTGGGAGCTACTCCCTCGTCAGATAGAATACATCATAGTTTTAAGTCATTTTTCTCTTTTAGTGTGGAGGGCCTTCTATTGCACTATACAAACTCCTTGTTTCCTTGGGAAGCTTTTCTTTCCAGAATGCTTTTGGAGTAACAAAAAGCAAAAAAAAAGTTTAGTTATTATTTTCTCAACATGAACTTCATTTGATCTGTAAATCATTTTGATTTGTAATTAAGTGCAGGATTCCCTCAGGACAATAAACCGTATGGAAGTTTTCTGCCATATGCTTTGCATACAAAAGAACTCTAGAATTATGTAGGGAAGTGATGTTTGATATGAATAAAATTTAGGAGTAATGAAGTGCAGGTCTCTCAACATGAGTCATTAGCTAAGTTGGGTTATTTAGTTCCAAAAAGGTTTCCTTTACAACTATGTTGTATTTTATACTGACATATTTGGAAAGTTCTGATGAAGTGTTGCAAGCTTTGTAATTATTCTGTTGCAATAATATGTGTTAGGTATTTTTATATACCACAGAAATAGCATATATTATGAGGTTACTGATTGTAATGAATATTTATAAAGATGCTGTGATTTTCATATACCTATACCACATACATTTTAAGTCATTAGAATACTTTGTTGTTTCCAAAGTAGGATTTTATTTCTACATGGTTGCCAGGCTGAAATTCCAGTAATCACAAATACCATGGAAATAAGGGACATTTTATGAAATAAGACATATTCCCTTAAAAAACAAAAGACACACCTGGTGATTATAGATTACTTACAGCCGCAGATGTCTCATTTTACAATTCAACTTTGGTATTTGTAAAAAATTAAACCTTTTATTTATGTACTAGTAGCAGCAAAATCTCCTGGGTTGAGTTTAATGTAATTAGGGCATTTGTTAATACTGAAGTGCTTTTTAAATTTTACTTATTTTATTTTTTCAAGTGATTATTAGATAACAGGTATAAGTATAAACATGGTTATGAATACATGAAATGGATACAAATAAGAAAAAAAAGAAACAATAGGACAGGGATGGTGGGCACATTGGTGCACTTATAGAGAGATGTCATAATCAGGGATTTAAATGCAATGTTTGATGTAGCCAGTTATCAGTTAGTGAGAAGAAGTTACTAAAAAAGGACCTTGGATATGTAATCCCAAGAAATCTATAATGTCAGTGGCCCATATGGTATTGTCACTCAGACAAGCTGCAGGTCAGCATCTGGAGCATTTCAATATTGATCAGATCCTTTCCTACAGTAAAACAGATGGGTTTAGTTTTTTTCACTATATGCATTGTAACTAAACAAAAGGGAAAGAATAGAAAACGAAGGTTTACTTTTTCCCTTAAGTTCTTGAATAAAATGGTAATTGCAATTCTTTGTTTATTTGGTCCTAGGGTTTTCCAGGAGATATTGGTATACCAGGTCCAAATGGTCCAGAAGGCCCAAAGGTAAGAATATGTGAAAATATTACAATTTCTTTGTAATTAAATATAGCAAGTAAAATTGTAGAAGCCATGTTTTACTGATTTTGAAATCTTTTGGGTGCTTGCTTCAAAGAAGTTTGAGAAACCAACTTTAAAGAAGTTCCAACATTGCTAATCTTTATGTAATATGGGAAAAGGCAGCAGATGGATCTTGTTAGAGCACTATTATCTAAATCACATCCAAATGTGTTGGAGTCCAACCCCCCCCCCAAATCAGTTGCTGTGCTACTCAGCTATGAAGCTATGATATGAGTTATATCCCAGTACATTCTAGAACAGAGGTTTGCAACCTTAAACACTCAAAGAGCTGTTTGGACCTGTTCCCCACAGAAAAGAACACACTGGGAGCCACAAAACCTGGGTGGGTTTGGCCAACTCAACGTCACTCCCACCCAGTCACATGATATCCCCCCCACCATGCCTACCCAGGTTTTGTGGCTCCCGGTGTTTTCTGTGGGAAATGGGTCTCTCTCTTTCCTTCCCTCCCTCCCTCCTCCTCATTTCTGTTTTTTTGTGTTTTACCTTCTCGGGCCAGGAAAGGAGTGACTGGGAGGGGAGGGCGAGGGGCGGGGCCAGCCAGTGGTAGGATCACCGAACAGGGAGCCACAGCAGAGGGCCCAAAAAGCCGCATGCGGCTCCAGAGCCACGGGATGCTGACACCTGTTCTAGAGAGTGCTAAGTTTGAAAAGGCTGTATTAAAATATCGTTGGGAGGAAAAGATGGCTTATAATGTTCAATAAAACTTGTTGCTATTTCTTTTTTGCTTCTTTTTGCTATGTTTTCTACAAACTCATTGTACAGATACATGAGAAGAATGTATCTTATGAATTATAGACCCTTCAATACTATTCTAGCTATACATTTAATAGACAATTTGCTATTGCCTCTGGATGTAACACATATTTTTCCTAACTAAATATTCAATATCCTTTCCCAAATTGTGCTATGCTGGTTGATTTTTCATCAAAGATCATAGTCAGAACACTGATTATTTAGGTGGAAGCTGAACTTTTTATTTGATGCAAGGATGAGTCTTTTCTATGTAATATTTTAATAGAGGATATGTCCTTTAATTAGAGAAAATTGATGGCTTACATTTGAGATGAACATTACATAAATGGAAAAGCTTTTACCGAGTCCATAATCAAATGATCCCAGGCCTGTGTGAAACTGGAATTGTTCAGCTTTAACACTCTCAGATGTCACGTACTGACTGAAGTTTTCTAGAGTTTCTTTTTTTCTTGGAAGACTGTCTTGCTAAACTCTTCTTTTCCTCATTCTTCTCCCTGAAATTTATATATAAATATACTCTAGCTGCCAGGAAAGCATGACAAAGCCTTTTATATTAATACTAATGTAAAATATTGACTCTTGGCAATGACACAATTTCATAATGACATTTTCTTTCCATCACTGTCGTCCCAATTCACCTTGTAAAGAACATTCAGGAAACTGTTTAGCTCTTTTATGATCAATCCTCTAATGTACTCTAATTTATTCAATTGTTAAAAGATTATTTGGGCTGTATCTGTTTTCCCCGGTTGTTCTTTCAGTTAATATATCTTGATTTCTGTATCACAAGAGCAAAGTCATAATGAGGCAGCTTACAGTTTGTTAATAAACTTTGTAGTATTAGGGTTGAATATCTTAACAGTTAGATTACCATAATTCATTCAAAACATGTCGTTAGCACCATTGTGTTTAGGAGCAAACTCTTATCAGTGTTGGACATCTGGGGATGTGGGTACTCATAGATATGCTCCAGATTGGAAGTGAAATGTAGGTCCACAGATGGCTTGCTCTACTGATGTTCTCTACATCAGGAAACCAGTTTGGTGCAGTGGTTAAAGGTATCATTTTAGAAACCAGGAAACATCTAAAAGGACGAAGAGGGGCTCTGGTCACGGTCAAAGGTTTGCACATCATATTGGTGTTCTGAGAAATTGGTACAAGATTTCCTCTCTCCTGCTTGTAGCAAGAGCCAAGGGAGGGGTGGATTGAGCAAAACATTGTACAAATAATGTAGTTGGTACTGTATACTCAAATATATTATGCAATTGCATTCTGAATTACTTGGTTATGCTACATCTATCAAATTGATGGATACCTATTAGCACCATTTGATTTCTCCGACTGACTGAGTGAAGGATTAGCATTAGCATTTAGACTTATATACCAGTTCACAGTGCTTTACAGCCCTCTCTAAGCACGTTATAGAGTCAGCATATTGCCCCCAACAATCTATGTTCTCATAGATAGGAAGGATGGAAAGCTGAGTCAGCCTTGAGCCTGGTGAGATTTGAATTGTCAAATTGTAGGCAGTCAGAAGTAGCCCGCAGAACTGTATTCTAGCCACTATGCCATCGTGGCTCAGTGAAAGAAGGGCAAATGGTGAAAGAAGGGCAATTGAGGGATAAACGAAAAGCAATGCTAACAGCATCTAGTTCCACTTTGCATAAAGCCAGCTGGAAAACATTGGACCATCCATTTTCTCTCAGTCCTAGAAAGATAATTTTTAGATAATATCCTGTGTGATATATCCCAAGCAGGGAATTTCATTTTATTCCTATTTTAAAAAAATCAGAAAAGAAGAAAAGCAACCTATCCAATAATTACAAAGCATTGTATAAATAATGCAACTGTCATTTTTGGTGACCTATGCAATACATCTTTCACACACACGCACACACACACACACATGTATGGTATTCAGCTTTGTCATTGTAGTTGTAGCAACGTTTCGGCAGAATCTCATCTGCCATCATCAGGCTTCTGTATAGATACACACACACACACACACACACACACACACACACATATACATAAACATACATACATACAGGGGTGGGATTCAATTTTTTTAACAACCGGTTCTGTGGGCATGGCTTAGTGGTGGGCATGGCTTGGTGGTCATGTTATTGGCTGGGCGTCGCCAACTCAATATCACTCACATCGAGGCATGCATCTCCTTGCCTGGCCTCTCATGACTGGAGATGCTACAACAGTTGTAAGTGTGAAAAATGGTCATAAATCACTTTTTTCAGTGCCATTGTAACTTTGAATGCACTCCACACAAGCAAAGTACCAGCAAAGGAGGGGAAAAAAACTCCAGAGAAGTTCCTGAGACAGGAAGTCCAGTCCTGCCAAGAATGTAATAAGGGTTAACGGAGAGGCAGTTTCTGTAAGCAATACTAGAGTGTTTTCTTCCTGCCTTCCTTACAGGATTTTTTCTAACAACCAATTCTCCGAACTGCTTAGAATGTTAACAACTGGTTCTAGCAAATAGGTGTGAACTGGTAGAATCCCACCCCTACATACATACATACACACACACACACACACACACACGGATTGAGACTGACAGAAAAGTGCTAGAAATAAAATATATTTGATCTAAAATCTTGTTAAATAATCTCCACTGAAATACAGATTTAGTGACTGTATGGGTACCAATCAAGAACAGAAAGATGCTTCTAGCTTTGAAATTCTGTTAAATGACTGTTGATTTTCTTTCCAAATTATTTCTTTCTACAAATGAGGCATACAGTATAATGCTCCCCATTAACTTTGTAATAGAACCAATAAAGTTTCTAATGTAAATAGACAGAAGAAGTGATTTGATTTTTCCATTTTATAATATCCAAACATTGAGTCAATGCACTCTGAGTTGTATAAATCTCTGCTAGAGCCACAGATGAGATGCTGTCTACATTGCTTGGATTATGTTGTAATCTGAGTTTCCATGTCTGCTATGTGGTGAGCATTTAATTTAATTTAATTAGTTCATGCCACTACTGTCACAGAGAGATACATTCGGAGGAGGCTACATTTTATGAGAACATTTCATGGAGGTAGCAGTTAAGTTATTTAGACATTTATTAAAATAAGCCTTGCAAAGTAGAAAGAATAAAGGATAACTCCTTGATTAAGTGAAAAAAACAATCCATTTCAGCTGATTAATACAGAAGTATTTTTCCTCAGCTTTAGTGATTATAAAAATGCATGTAAATCATGTGACTCTGGAAAATAGGAACCCCAGAATATTTTATGGCCCTCTTGACAAGCTTATATACAGGTCAGGAAAACACAATATGGACAGAACATAGTGAAACAGACTGGTTCCAGGTTGGCAAAGAGGTGGGACGAAGTTGTATACTTTCCTCTTTTTTAGATTATATCCATCCATCCGTCTATAATTTTTATTAAAGTTTTTTTTCCACAGAGTAAAAACAATACAAATGTTAAGATAAGAAAAATAGAAAACAGTCATAGAAGAGTGAAAAAGAAATAAAATAAAGAAAATTTAATTCCATTTAAACTTAACTTTTACATGATGCATCTGTGATTGCTGAGCTCACTTTTTATGATATACACTATTGACTGCAAATGTTATTACTGGAGTGCTGTTAGTGGGAGATGGTGATTAATCCTTTATCTGTTGCTGTTTTATGATCAGAATCCACCCTTTGCAGCTGCTTTCCCACCTGCAATGTGAAAAATAAAAATTAATGCATGTGCCTAATCCAAGATTAATGGTTTCAGCAGGAAATGATTACAATTTACTCTCCATTTAAGTAGTTTTCCCTTGTGAGCTTTTAACACATAATTGGAATGCAGGTGTACATAACTGTATTCATATTATACTTTTTACAGAGAAGCCCAAATGGGTATTGATTTAATAGTTAAGGCTTCCTAAGAGAAACAATTATAACATAAAGTGGGGAAATATCAATTATATTTCATAAAGTGGGGTAATATGAAGGTATATTTCTTACCATTAATCCTCATACTCCTCTATGCTTTCTTCAGTAGCATGTCTGTTCATTAATCTTATGATTTATGTTATTTAGGGGTTTCTAGGTGACAGAGGTCCTCTCGGTCCATCTGGTCCCAAAGGAGTTGAGGTAAGGTGATTGTTCTCTCAAAAGCACACTTGTTTTTAGAGCTGGGATCTAGTCCTGTGCGGTTGATCTTATTTTTAACTTGCAAAATTACTAAATTTCTCTCTGGCAGATGTGAAGTATAAACGGTGGCCCATCAATAACTTTCTTGTTTTGGTGGCACCTGTACAATGTTAAATGAACCAAATCTGGTATTTTACACACACTAGGAGGGACTATGTTTTGCATTCTGAAGAAGAAATATATTAATGTGCAAATTAAATAAAAGATGTGTTGTTGAGTACATATTTTAATGTCCATCTATTAAGAGATAGTTTATCTGAAAAAGAAGGCACCTTTTCTTTTAAAACTGAATCCATAATAGTTTACCTAAAGCATCCTAAAGAAATCCAATTTACAATTAATTAAAGTTTAATTGAGTAGATCTAGACATGTAGTATTATGTCCCTGAATTAGTAACTATTGATGCCCAAAGCAATATTACATGTCTATACTCAGAAATAAATCTTACTGAGTCCAGTGAGATTTACTCCTATATACTGTAAATATATGCTTATGAGTTCATCCTTATTCTGTAAATTTTTAAGTTTAAGTATATACATAGTCCCATTAAGATGTTCAATGTTACATTATAAAGATATGTACGGTAAATGCAATATGCAAGAATAAATGATTGCCCTTCTTTTGCTTTAGGGAGAAGAAGGACCTGTTGGGCCAACTGGAGTAACTGGACCAAGGGTAAATACTGAAAAGGATGGAAGGCTGTGTCAACTTTGAGCTGGTCAGGATCGAACTCCTGGCAGTGAGCAGAGTCAGCCTGAAATACTGCAGTCTAATCATGCAACCACCACAGCTCAATTTAATTGTAAAGTTACAGTAACAAAATCTTACAAGTCTAAAATTCCATCCTTCCCATCATCTTTAGAGCCCAATAAATTAAGGAGGGTCCCTTCTGAGACATTTGTCACATATCCACAGTCCTGCAACAGGCTAAGCTCACCCTTATCTGACCACTTCCCTCATCTCTCATTCAATATACCGTAATAGTACTTTTATCTCACGTTATAAGAGGCATGCAATTTTTTGTTGTTCCAAAAATGTTTGTGCAGGCAGGAAGTTTAAAAATTAAACACAACACCAATGCATTTCGGATCGTGTTACTGTTGTAAAGTTAATGTCTGAGTTTTTTGTAAAGTACTTTTTGAAGTCCTTCCTTCAAACTGATATCAAATCAATTTGTCCTGGTTTTTCTTTTTTTTAAATATATCGGGTGTTTTTGCAGGACTTGATGTTATGCTTAACTTCCATAATTTCTCACTTCATAATTTTAGAAATTGGAACTGCTGGTATTTATAGTCTAAATTATTCACAGAAAATTATAGTCCGTTATAGAATAGAATAGAATATGACTATACATTTCACTGATTTTACTTTTATTTACTGTACTAAATTTATTCAGTCCAATTTTCCTCTTAGGATTTTCTACCTTTCTATGTACATTTTGTAAAAATATTATGTATTCCTGATAACCCTCTCTTCTATTGTTTTCACATTCATTAATGTTTCAAAAAGCATATCATTTATAGATAACTACCCCAATTGAATTAATTATCAATATTCTTCTCACGTTCTCTTCCCTTCCTCAGCCTCCTATGGCTGAAATGCTCTCAGCTGGAACTCAGGTTCTTTCTCAAAGAAAGTTGTGTGGTTTAATTTATTCCGAAAGTATATAAATTATTTGTACTGTAGAATTTAGGGGACACTGCATAGAATTATTTATTTTTCTTATATGTATTTTTCTCAATATTTTATAAAACTAAATAATAGGTGTTTTTCTTATTTGACATTTACCTTTCTCCGCTCATTTATATTGTTACATCTTAAATGATTCTAAATACTTAGTGGTATTAAAAGAAAAATAGATAATTCATCACAGAGGGATATTCTCAAGGACACAAAATGAATTTCAATCCAGGTTTAAAACATTCACATTTTACTATATATTCCTATTTGGGGCTTCTATCAGGTTAAAAAAATGGACTACAGTTAATCTGTGTGGACTACATATGGACTACAGTTAATCTGTATTCTTGGCATCTCCAAATGTGACTAAGAAGGATTGCCTATTAAAATGTTTCATTTTTTACAGTTAATGTAAAACAATTTGTATTTTTGAAAAATGAATGAATTTGAGACATGCAAAGCAGTAGCTGAAGCAGAATTTGATTTATTGTAATGAATTTCTGTTCACTTGTGAACCTGGAAAAAAGTTTGATGTCTTCACTGCTTTGCCTTCAATCAGCCCTATTTTCAGATTAACAGTAGTTTTATTTTTGGAAATTCTTAGTCCATGTATGTGCATCTGTTCCCATTGTCGGTTAAATGAACAGAATGTCTTAAGAAGAATGGAAAACAAAAAGTTCAGTGTTTAAAATAAATTCTACCCACTTACCTTTGAAAGGCTAACAAATAACTCGAGTGAATTTTTTGTTTTCTTTTCATATCTGATAGACTAAGAAAGACGACTACTTTCAATTTTTTAAAAAAATCTAGTTTTGAAATTATTTTATCTATTTTTAATTAAGGCTAGTAAAGTGCAAGATTTAAAATGCTGAGAAAGAGAAAGAGACAAAGTAAGAATGAATCCAAAGGTAGTTGTATAAACTCTGGAGATTATTCAACATTTAAGAGCATATTATCCAATGTCTTCATTTTGTGTTGCCAGAAATTTCCTTTGATTGGTTCATATACTTCTTCAGCCTTATCCAAAACATATTTTGAAATTTTATATCAGTGCAGATTTGTTCCAAACATTAATGCTTAGAACAATTGTAAAAAGTATTATTTTTAAAAAATGTTAATGAGTAATTATTATAGGTTTATTGCTAGGCAGTGTCTTTTTGGTAGCATCAAGAGGATAAAGCAATCACAACACAGTGTACATTATAAAACACAAAAACAATGTCATTCACAACAGATTTTCTATAAGAACAGTACTTTATAAACCAACATGAAGAGTAACTGCAATTATTTCTATTAAGATAGGCCAAGATAGGTAGAATAGACTCTTGAGTAAGAATTTTTTTTTTACAGAGAACCTTTTAGGTCTTTTTCTGAGAAATGATATTCCTTTTGAAATTCCTGCCCTATCACACACAAATGCATACTCAGTCCTTGCATTTCAGCAGTTAAAAATGTCAAAAAAAACCACCCATCCTGGGAGAAGAATGAACAGGTTTTCCACTTAAAACATATAACTGCAATTTTTCTCTAGAAGTTTTTTGCTGAAAGAAAAAGCAAAGGAATTTTATATATACAGATAGCATATATTTTATCCCACAGTCACTCCTATTAGTTGTATCAAGTATAATGCAACTCTAATTGTCAGTGATTCGATGAAATCTTCATTTAAGAGCTTCAAAAAACAGGACTCCTTTGTTTTAATATAGGGGAAACCTGGAAGGAAAGGTTTTGCAGGTGAACCAGGATTAGAAGGCCTGAAGGTAAGACATTTGGTCTTGTTAAATTAAAACTAGTCATAATTTGAATTTTATCAAATATTTGTCAAATTTAGAAATCACCCATCTCCCTCACAGAGGGACTCTGAGTAATGTACGAGTAAATTGTTTGTGCATAGTTGTAGAGGAAAGCAGAGATAATACTGGTGAAGGAATGCAAGAATTGTTAGCAGATAAAAGACAATAAATGACATTTAAGCTCTTCAGGGAAAGGGGAGACTGTGAAATAGATTTAAGTTAATATGTTATGTGGAAAGACTTTAGAAAAGCAAATAATCTTTTTCTAATTGTTGGTAAAAGTTCAGGAATACAGAAAACAGTATAATCCAAGGGTGGGCTGCTGGGGGTTCGCATGGGTTCGGGAGAGTCCCTAGCTAAGATTCTGTGCAGTTCAGAGAACCCCCAAATCCACTCCTGGCTCCCACTCCCTGCCTACCACTCCCCTCCCAGGAGTCCCCACAGGGTCATTTTGGACGCAAGTAAGTGCAGGATGTGTGCAGAAGCCCAGGAAGTCCAGAAATGAGCCCGTTTCTGGCTTCCAGAAAGTCTCTGGAGCTCAGGAAGGCCATTTTTGCTCTCCTGGAGGCTCGAAGAAAGCCTCTGGAGCCCGGGGAGCGCTAAAATGGCCCCCTGGCAATGGTGCAGGAGGCCGACTAGGCCATGCCCACCATGGCCACGCCCACCCAGCAACCGGGCAGAGAACCCTTTGCTAAAATTTTTGAGACCCACCCCTGGTATAAACCATATATAGTAGGAAAATATTTAAATTTCTGTATTTAAAATAAAGTCTTATATTTTTAAAACAACAGGGAGAAAGAGGAGACCAAGGAGTTCTTGGGAAAACCGGTGAAACAGTAAGAGCATACTATTTTCTATTTCTAAATGGAGGCATTTTCATTCTTCTATAATTGCTTAGTTATGATGTGCTATGAATTTAATTGAGGCTTGATATTCCTATCAAAATTCAGCTGCAACTGATAAAATGAATCTTTGTGGAATTCCATATCCTCCCCAGTAATATTCAAACTCTGCTTAATATTCACAGATAAGATATTAGACTTAATATAATTTGCACTACTGGTACAAAGTGAGAGAAGGAAATGCATATTTGTAACCCCAGTGGAAATTCTATGTTGTGGATGGAACACTCTTTTTATATTGGTTTAGTTTCCTTCATTGTATCTATCACCCTATTCAGTGAAATATATTTTTCGCCATAGAAATTATAACAGATTTTTTACATCTTTGCATACATATTTCCATTTTTAAAGTCCCATAATACTCTTTTGTCTTTCATTTTGTCTTGAGATGCAAAATCTAACTAGAAATAAAAATACAGAGGCATATATTGTAAGATTATAGAAACACTGATGAGGAAATCAGAGGTGGTATTCAGCAGTTCTGACCAGTTCTGGAGAATCAGTAGCGGAAATTTTGAGTAGTTTGGAGAACCGGCAAATACCACCTCTGACTGGCCCTGCTCCCATCTATTCTCTGCCTCTTGAGTCCCAGCCGATGGGCTGGATCTTCTTTTGTTGCCCTGCACAGGAGAACAGCTGGAAAGCAGGTTAGTGAGGTGGGGAGGGAATGGGATTTTGCAGTAACTTTCCCCAGGAGTGGGGTGAGAATGGAGATTTTACAGTAACATTCCCCTGCCACACCCACCAAGCTACACCACGCCACCAAGCCACGCCCACAGAACCGGTAGTAAAAAATGTTGGATCCCACCACTGGTGGAAACTGACATTGAAATCATGCATAGTAACTCATAGTTTTCATTTATATAAAGCAGGGGTCTTCAAACTTGACAGCTTTCAGACTTGTGGATTTCAACTCCCAGAATTCCTCCTCCAGTCATGTTAGCTCAGGAATTATTGGAGTTGAAGTCCGCAAGTCTTAAACTTGCCAAGTTTGAAGACCCTTGATATAAAGCTTTTGGCATTGCTTAATTGGTTAGCCTCAGGTTTCAGAGTGCAGGTGTAAATTATTTTCTTGGAATGCTCATTTTTATTTGAATGAACATGGGGTTTCTTTTTCCCTCTCTTTGCTTCATTATTTCTTACATTTATGCATTACCTAGAATATATGCATTTCTTACTATTCCTCTGTGCTGTATATCTGCATATTCGTGAGGCATTGAAGATCTTAGGTATGAATGCCTCACTACATTCATTCAGAAGATGGATTTGTAGTGTACCAAAAGGAATGCATTCCACTTATATTATTAGTCCTTTTCTTTCTTAGAGAGAGAGAAAAAAACCTTTTTCCTGAAAAGTTACTAATGTAAATGCCTTTAGAATAAAGAGAAGAGGGTACCAAAACTTGAAATACTCTTTGTGATATTAAACCAACAATAGCCTATGTTATTGAATGTAATACATTTTTGTTATGGAGTTGAATGACCTGGTTCATACCACATGTTAATTCAGCTAAGATTAAGCTAAAGGAATGCCTGGCCTGTCACCTTTATTCCAATCACCCCTCATGACTTTTCACTTTCCTGTTGTGAAAGATAGATTGCAAATTTGGTGTCCTCATTTTTGATCTTAATAAACTGGAATTTGATATTTACAGAGTTTGCATTTTGCTAATTGGAAATGGCAGTCCCTCTGGATTTGAGTAGGACATTTAATCTTATTAAAGTAATCATACTATGCAGAAGCAGGATAAGATGGCAGCACACAAATGCTGGTTAACCAGTTTGTTTGCCTTAGTACAGGGCTGTCAAGCTCCCGGCCCATGAGCTGGATGCGTGACGCGCTGACCATATCCATGTGAGGGGGAAAAAAGTCCCAATATGTCACATGATGCCGCCGTAACGACATGAGTTTAACACCCTTGCCTTAGTATATTGTGCATAGGCACTCAATAAGTTGATAAATTATTCCAACAGTACCCCATAAGTAATTTTTACAATGAATGAAGATCTTAAAAGATGTCATCTTCATTAATACAGGTCCTCAGGTAGCTTCTATATTTTTTTTAAATATGCCTGCTAGGTGTAATAAAGCCTGAGATAAAGTTAATAACAGGGCTGTGCAGCCATATAGATTCACACGCTACATATCTTTAAACCAAACATGTCTTTTTATTAGAGGTTTTTTGAAGAATTTCATAATTATTATTTGAGTACCCTCAAATACTGAAGATCTGAATCAACTTTTCCACTTTGAAACCAGATTGCTAAGTATAAGGGATTAGAAACCACTCATTCTGAAGATAGTTTTATTAAGGATTTATTATGTTCTTTTTAGTCTCTTTAGTATAAAGTATTTACTTAATGTTTATTAAATATTTAATAATTTGTTATTAGATTTTAATATTAATTTTAATTTTAATATTTATATACTGTGTCAATATTTATATCTGTGGTCTCCCTTTACCTCCTTTATTGAAGAAAAAATTATTATACATCTCATTTAAAGATAATAATGGTCTTACTAATATCAGGAAGCATTTAGGTGAGTTTGGTAAAATTTAGTGTTCCTAAATAAAACACTTCTAGTTTTAAACTAGATTTGTCTAATCTCTCTTTTGCCTGACCTAAGAAACCATAGTTTGTGAAAACAAAGAGGGAATGGTTTATTGCAAATCCTCTGCTGTTCATTTTTAGTCAAGAATTGCAAGAAATTTTAAATAACAATAACAAAACAAATATATAATTTCTCAGTTCGTTAATTCCTTATTTCTGATTTATATCTTCACAGCATGTTTGTGCATAAAATAGGTCCTATTTAGATATGAACTGTTACAGTTGGATCTTTCAGTGCCTGGACTACCCTCATAAGTTCAAAATAAAAAGCTATTTAAAAATGAGTGATATATGATCAATAACCAATAATTTATAGGTTTTATTTGATAAAGCATGACTTCATTTTTTAAAAAAATGTGCTTAGAAAATGTAGAATATGAAATCATGCTTTTATTTTGCTGAAATTCAAATACAATTATGTCAACAAGATAGATTTTTCAAAATGTGAGGATCCTTGTATTTGATATGAAGTAATTTGCATAATGTTTTCTCTAATTAAATCTAGTACTTAATCAAGTAATCAATTTACTTGATTAAAAAATTTGAGCAAGAGCAGAATTAAATTAGCAAGAAGGATCCAGAATGAGAACTCCATAGAGAAGTATGTAAAACAATATATGTTGACTCAGTTGGGGAAAGAACTAATCCATTTTTTTCTTCAGCAGACAATCCAAACTAGTTCCGATTTATTTCATTTATGGAAGAAGGCTAGTATTAGTGAATACTTTCAGGCTCAGAGCACCTTACAATAATGTAATATTTTAAGGTTTGACTTTGTTATCTCCCTTCTATTTAATAATATCAGATTCACATATGTGATTTTATTCTGGGTGATTCCAAATGAAAAGCTGATTCTGGATGAAAGGATTACAAAATCCTTTGTCCATCATTCTATTCTCTTTTTGTGAAATGTATTCAAGGTTAGTAATGTTGCCAGTAGGATAACTTTACAGTTAGATTATTTAATACATTAAAAATCTCAGTCCTTTTGTTGGAAGATTTTGTAGAAATTATGCATTTGACTATAATTCCTTCTTGTGTGAAACTTATTCATATAGTAATTATTCCTCATAATTCCTTGAGGAATAATATATTCAAGATTCTTCTAATTGGATTATTGACTTTCCAGCATGCTGGTTGAAGAGTTATTGAAGCTATAATTCATACATCTAACATCTGTTGGCCTAGGAAGGGTTATTTTCAGCTCACTGATCTCCTGCCAAAAAATAGAAGGACAGAGTTCATTATTTAGGACAGGGGTCCCCCAAACTTGGCAACTTTAAGACTTGTGGACTTCAAGTCCCAGAATTCCTCAGCCAATTCTGAGATGAAGTCCACAAGTCTTAAAGTTACCAAGTTTGAAGACCTCTGATTTAGGATATTGACTTAGGAAAAGCTGTTTTCCAGTTTCATATATTCACACTTTTCTTTCTTCATGCCTCAGGGATCCTAAATTTTATCTGTTTCTTTGTTATGACAGTGTTGTTAAGATTTTTGCAAAAGCGACTTAAGTTTCATATGTAGTTCCTTCATATAATTAAGAAGTGGAATATATGGTATACAATAAATTGTGAACATTTTATACAGATTGCCTAAAGATATTTCCATATATTTCATAGAATTTGACTGAACTCATGTGCAAATGGCATATAAATAAAGCTGCTGAGATTCATTATAAAATCCCTAGAGGCGTAATGGTTAAAGTGCAGTATTGCAGGCAAACTTGTCGATATCCTGGAGTTCAATCCTGACAGGACACAAGGTTGACTCAATCTTCCATCCTTCTGAGGTCGGTAAACTGAGGATCCAGATTGTTGGATATATTCAATAATGCTTACATTATAAACTGCCCAGAGAGTGCTATAAAGCACTATGGGTGGTGTATAAGCCTAAATGCTATTGCTATAATCATTGATTATAAATGACAAGTTACCAGATTATTTGCTTTTTCATGTCTTCTGCTCTTTAGGGACCTATTGGCTCACCTGGTGAAATTGGATTATCTGGGGGACCTGGTGAGAAGGTATACTATAAGATGCTAGCTGATAATTAATGTAACAAGAGCAGCACAAGTAATATATACTATACAGTGCATTACAACTAGTGTTCTCTACATCTGTATTGGAATTTAATCATGCAAAAGAGTAAAAGTTACTCCATGATGCTTTCAAAAAAATGTTAACTAATAGTAAAACTGCAGCAGAATTTTTTAAAATGGAATGAATATTTTCCAAGCAGAGGATTGATAGAATCTGTCAGCAAATAATACAGTTGGCTTGAAAGTCATACAGTCTATTAGCATCCACATTTTTATGACAACCAATCTATTATTTTCATGGGGGAGAAAGCATCCATCTTTTCCTTCCTGGGTTAATTAAAACCTGTTTTGAATCACACATTCATCCCAGAATGGGGGGGGAACTCTAGCAATACATCCATTAATGGAGACAGGGAAAAGGTTCATATGTAGGCACAAATGTAGCTACTGAACTCTTACTTGTTTTATTTTCCATTCCTGCAGAGGCTTAGAAATTAGCTTAAAACCAGGAGTTACCACTCACACCACTATACTAAATGTTTATTTAGGTATAGAAGTTGTATTTTCATTATTAAAAATATTTCAAAACTGGATATGCAGTTTTACCATCAAAAATCAAATAAACTACTATAGTTATGAACAGTATGTATGTATGTGTGTATGTATGTGTTTATTTACTTTTAAGGGAGACAGAGGTAATCCAGGCCCAGTGGGCCCTCCTGGAGAAAAGGGTGTTATGGTAAGCAAATCCAGGGTTACATAAGAAACTACTGCCTAATTTATCTTACGTTAACTTAAGTAGAAAGTATATACTTAAATGGTTACTGGAAAATTCCTGTCTTTACTAAGTATTTAAGGTAATGCTGTTTACATGAAGAGATATTTAGTCTGTAAGAAAAATGAGAAGGTATTGGCTTAAAATTATTCATTTTTCTTAAAATATATTGAAACTCTGCATCATTTTTCAACAGTAGTTTTTTGCTTATCATGTTAACTCACCATAAATTATGGTATTTTTAAAAAATATTATCAGCAAAAATGTAACTTTGGTTAGTCATAATTCACTGAAAATCAAGCAAAAATATCTATTTTGAAGATAGGACTTTGAAACTGTTCTGTTTGAGGAGGAAAGTATCTGAAAAAGATAGCTTGAAATAGTAATGGGGGGGTTATAAAATTCCCTGAAACATAATTTGGAAGTTAGATCAAAGGCATATTGTTTGATCTCAGAGATATATTTCTTCAGAACTAGTATTGTTACTATTTGAATTGAGAGGGAAAAATCCTTTCCCCCCCCCCCATAAAAATCAAATATGTACATATACAAATGCAAATACATATAAGCCTCTAAGAAAATCAATTTTCTGGGCTTCCCAGTAAAAGTTTTTTCACTAATAAAGTACATAAGAATTCTGTACACAGCTCTGAAACTGTAAATAAGAACATTTTTGAGGGCATTTATACAAGCTGAAACAAGTTTAAGTATATTATATATTCATGCATCAGCCATATTATATTTACTTCTATTTCAGGGATACCCAGGTCCACCAGGTGGCCCTGGTGATGTAGGGCCACAGGGGCTACCTGTAAGTATAAAATATCATATTTTTGTGTACCTCCGCATGAGTCACATCTCCATTAACTTTTAAGCATAAGTTTATTAATAGGCAGTATAGAGAAAAATTATTCAACCAAAAGTAGAGAATATTAAAGGCAAGGATTCCAACCTTGGCAAGCTTTTATATCCAGTGAGTTCAAAATAAGATATTTAAACCAGGCTTAATTTCTCATTGAAATTGAGAAATTGATTGCAAACTTTTCCTATAAGCTATAAAACTATTATGGGGGAAGGTAGGACTTTTTGGAACATTATGTATAGCAGCAGGAAAGAAGGGTGAGTAATCATGAATCACTTCTCTTGCCATTGTGAAATCTCCACATAATTCCCAGTGGATCTAGTCCAGTGATTTTTGGTTTTCTTGACAAAGAGGTCAGATACTGTTAACAAATAAGACATGCACCTACATGAGCACATGTGTCTGTTAATTAATCATTTAAAGGCCTATCTGTTAGAAAGTAATGCCATGACTGATAAGTTATCTGTTTCAAGTTGCTAATATAATAATTTGTCTCTCATACAAGTTTACTTTTCCATACCTGCAATGATGTAGAGTATTGGACTGGGACTAGGGAAGATTAATTTTAAAACTGCTGAATGGCTGAAGGGAAATTTTAGCGTACTTTAGAGAAAGCTTCAAAAAAGGGCAGTAAGGAGAAGAATGGGTGACAGTTTTCTAGTCTGGCCTTTGAGCTTTTTGCTTTTGGGAGGAAAGTTGGTAACAAAATATGATACAGAAAAATGGGCTTCTGCTCTATGATAACTATGTATTTCATTCTTATTTATTATTTAGGGCCCAACAGGAGCACGAGGACCTCCTGGACCACAGGGTTCTAAAGGTCAAAGAGTAAGTAGTATGTCTATAACCACTAAAATATACTTATTTTGAGTGTGGGTGGGTGGGTGGATGGATGGATGGATGGATGGATGGATGGATGGATGGATAGATAGATAGATAGATAGATAGATAGATAGATAGATAGATAGATAGATAGATAGAAAAAAGTGCAAAGGAAAGAAAGGAAAAGGGGAGAAAAACAATGTTTAAATAAGTGACTTCTGATCTTCATCGCAACAAGTATAAACAAACCTATCATTTTTCCACTCCATAAACAATTCATACACAGTTCACATCTTTCCAAAATCTATCTCTTATCCAGTCAAATCCATGAATAATTAACCTTCCTATCCAGATGTCGGCAAAAAGACCATAAGGGGGAATCACAGAATTTTATAAAGATATATCCCATTTTAATCCTGATCAAATCAATCAATTTTGTATTCCTTTTTTATCCTTCTAATAATCTTGGTCCTTAATTCATTGAAATGCTCTCATGGAACTTGATCTCCCTTCAATTTTTCTTTCTCCTGTTTCAATGTTTTTTTTCAAGTTTTTAACATCCCTCATTTTTAAATCCAGTAAACTTATCCAGATATCTTGGCTTATTATTTATATTTCCATTTTGACCATCATATATGTCTTACAATCCAGACTTTCTTTTCTAGTATTTCTGCATCAGGTGGTTGTCATTTATCACATTCACCCTATCAGTCTTCCAAAATACTATCTTTCATATCTTTCATTTCTTTTAAAAAATATTTTGTAAATATTCCATCCATATCAGCAAGCATTGTTACTAGCATTGTAGCTACTGGTTTCTGACCCATTCTTCAAAAATCTCCTGAAATGTCTATATTAGGGGTGTCAAACTCACGCAGCCCAGCTGTGTCACATGACATATCTGGACTTTTTCCCCTCTTCACTAAACTGGGTATGGTCAAGGCATTACACATCCGGCCCATGGGTCGGGTGTTTGACAGCCCTGGTCTAGATGTTATAGCATTTTCTGCCATTTTATAGGAGCCTCAAAAAACAGGCTTGTCTCTTCCCTCCCCCCTTCTTTCTTTCTCCTGCTTTTAATTGTTATTCTCCTGTAGTACTTTATTTCTAAAATTGCAAAAACTCCAGGTTTTATAATTTATTTTCCAACAGACTAAGCAATTTATACTCCACAAAAAATACTGTTTTATTATTTCCCAAACCTTTTAGCAAAGTCCTAATATTCCAAAATTATCTGGTCCCTGAATTCATTTGCAACTTTTTTAAATTAAGACTTGCTATATTTTTTGCCATTTATTTCAATTTCTTTAAATTCTTTAAGCTATTTGTATTGGAACAAGGATTAACTCACCTGATGGTTTTTCATACCTGTTGCTTTGAATTTCTCTTTCAACTTTAAATACATTTCAAATATTTTTGAAATATATTAGGGTTAACTAATCTAGTTTTCTTTAAAATGTGGTTGGGAGTTTAATAATTTCCTTCATCTTCTAGTGCTGAAACCCATGGGAAACCACTGTGCTATGGTCTCCTTGCAAGGAGTTGCTGTCCTGAGCACAATTGGGCAATCCCTCATCTTCTCCTTTATCTGGAGAGGTTCTGTTAGACTGTGTTTGTCACTTGGTCTGTCAGTCCTGGCCACATTTTGATTCCCATTCTGTGAAGTCATCTAGTTTGCCATTTCCTCACTCAGAAGTGAGAATAATTTCACTTCCAAATTGATCGTTTGTGTATGACAAATCCCAATTCCCTTCCAGCGTTAAGGTAGCTAACACTGTGGAAAATCAATCTCATTGGAGTGTACTTGTTGGAAAAACAAAAGATCTTGAGAAATAGTTTGAAGAATTAATTGTGAACTTGTAGAAGTGAATTGCAGTCTAGCAATTTCTAGCAAGGTGATTATGTCCATGGGTCAAATAGAAAAGTAATGGACAAGAAAAAAAGGAAAATAGTAGGGGTTGGCAAAAATTGCAAAGAGATAGATTTATCATATGCTTTGATTCAAAGGTGGTGATTGTGGATATTTATTATCTCTTACAATCCCCAATGGATTCTTGAATGCATGTGAGGGAAAAAAATGTGGTAAGTGATAGGAAAAAGTTTTTTACAAAATGTCCTCATTTGGATCCAATTAAATTCTGTGAATTACCATGGCAGCAGTTACAGATTTTGTGCTATAATTTTGTCTTATTAATCCTTAGATGCACACACATAAACACTTGTATCATTCCTAACTGTTTTTTCTTTAATTTGTCAGGGACCACGAGGTCAAGATGGCCCTCTTGGAGAGCAAGGGACAGAAGGTATTAAGGTAAACGTAACTTTCTTATCTTTGCCCCAGAAAATGACCCATGATGCTGTTAGATGCATGAAGTACAGTACCATATAACCTCTCTGTTATTGGGAACTTGACTTTTTGTCTCTGTGTTATATATTATACCATTTCCTCCTTGATGTCTTATAGTGTCTACCTTGCATCAACCAGACTAAGATATAGGCTGATTTCACTGTAATTTTGACCAAGTGATAGTTTATTTTTAGCGAGTTGTTTTGACATCTTTTTTCTAGGAAGTGGTATTAAAAAGTAATAATAAAGAAATAAATAGTACCTGCATTTGTGCCTATGGTTGATGACAGATTTTCCAATAATTTGCACTGAAAAGAACATCCATAATTTGGAATTTAGAAGAAAAAATGTCATATGTTTGAATACAGTGTATATTAAAATAGCTTTATTGTTTCTTTTTCCCAGGGAGAAGTTGGTGACTCTGGGAAAAAAGGCATTCATGGACTCATTGTACGTTGTATTTTTTTAGCATTCATATTTAAGGCATCAATTCTGATAATATTTTTGAAATAGAGTCGACACGTTACCTTCTTTGCGTTTGCACAGGGAAAAGCTGGAATCCCTGGAGAAAGAGGCAGTCCAGGAGCACCAGTAAGTTCTTCATGCTTTGGTAGAAGATTCATTTTTTTATAATTCCATTCTGCTTCTAACATAATACATTGAGTTTATAGTAGTTGGGGTCACCTAACATGAGTTGGTGTTTAAAGTATCCTACAAATCAGAGGTGGTACCCAACCAGTTCGCAGTGGTTCTGGCGACCTGGTAGTAGGAATTTGGTGTGGGTCATGGAACTGGTAGAGACTTCTGGCTGGCCACACCCCCGAACCGGTTCCCCGGTCCCTGGTCGCTCAGTTGCCCCACTCACCTGATGCTTGCTTGTGCGGCTTGCCTGCCCGCCGCTTGCTTCTCCCAGTCACTCTTCCCTTCCTATGTGGCACGCTGGGCCCTTCATGGCTTGCCTAACCTGACTTCCTCACATGGTAGCTGCATCCCAACTGAACAGCCCTGATCTGCCTGCCCTGCTCATAGGTAAGCCTGCATCGCGCTAGGCCCTCGCCCACCCCCCAGGGCCTTTCTGGGCCTCCCCCCACTGCACGGGGCCTTTCTGGGCGGGAGGAGGCCAAGGTGGGATGTCTTTTTTGGGCCAGTCCAGAGGGTGGGACAGCGGCAGCCACATTGCGGCTATGGGAAGCAGCCCCAGGATTCCTGGCCTCCCTTTCAGGGCACCCCCACCCGCCCATCTCAGCCCCATCCCCAGCGCAGCAGAGAATGCAAATGGAAAACCATTCCATTTGCTTTTTCCCTGCCTTTCGGGGCGCCCCCGCCTGCCACCATCCCCTCAGCCCATGTGCTTCAAAAGGGAGGGTGGATGGATGTTCTAGGGCTGCTGCTTTCTTCATTGTCCCGCCGCTCACGGAGATTACCCAATAAGTTCTTTCCAGAAAAGATGTGTGTGCGTGTGAATCAAGGAAGGAAGGAAGAAAGGGAGGAAGGGCAAGAAGGAAAGAACAAGAAAGGAAGAAAGAGCAGGAAAGAAAGAAGAAGGGAGAGAAAGAAATAAAGAGGGAAAAAGAAAGAGAAAGAAAGAAAAATAGGAAGGAGGAAAGAAAGAGGAAGGGAGAGAAAGAAAGAGAAAAAGAAAGGAAGGAAGGAAGGGAGAGAAAGACAGAAAGAAAGGGGAAGGGGGAGAAAGAGAAAGAAAAAAGAAGGAAGAGGGAGAGAGAGAAAACTCAGTGCTATTATTTTTAATTATTCCATTATATATTAATATATATTAATATTTTACACTGCCCCTACACCTAGAGTGATTTTATTGCCTTTCTTTTGCCCAGGTATTTTTCAGGATTTACATGTCTATAGTTCAGAGCATAAATACATGTGCGTTTAACAGAGTTGAAAAGGACCTTGGAGGTATTCTAGGCTAACCCCGTGTTCAGGCAGGAAAACTGAGGGTGCCAAATTCTGAGTAGAGGTCCTGGGAAAGGTGTCAGAATAACAATAGCACTTAGAAGGGACCTTGGGGGGGGACTCTATTCCATTTCAGAGAAATGGCTGTCCAGTCTTTTGTTAAAAACTTCCAGTGTTGGAGTACCCAGAACTTCTGGTGGCAAGCAATTCCACTGGTTAATTGTTCTCATTGTCAGGAAGTTTCTCCTTACTTTTAGGTTGCTTCTCTCTCTGATCAGTTTCCATCCTTCTGATGCTTTGGAAAATACATTGTTTGCCTTCTGGTGCTTTGGAAAATACATTGCACCCCCCGTCTTTCTGGCAGCTCCCTAAAAGCCTGTTGCCTATCGCCTTCTTGGGCAAAGCATGTGAGCCATTTCCTCCTTTCAGTGGTCCATGAAAGTACATCTATAGTACATAGATAATAAAGTCAACAAAAGGTGAACAACATTTTTACAGAATTATAAATATGTTGAGGCTGGGTGTGACAAGGAATGACTGGGAGGGGAGCGGCCAGGCGAGGCACCCCTTGATGTGAGTGACATTGAGTTGGCCACACCCACCTAGTCACATGACCTCCAAGCCATGCCCAACCAGCCATATGACCACCCCGGTCACATGGCCACCAAGCCACACCCACCAAATAAGTCATGCCCACCGAACTGGTAGTAAAAAAATTTGAATCCCACCATTGCTACAAATACATGTAAGTCTTGTTTAATGACTACCTTATTTAGAAATATTTGCAGTTGTGATGGTGATGAAAAAGTAACTTTGCAACCAACCTTTGCATTTACAACTTTTGTAGGTCTATAAAGCAATAAAAGCTGAAGTGAGATCATGAGCACAGTCACAATTTCATTTCAAAGCAACCACTTTATTTAATGACCAAGTTGCCAGTTCCAGCTAGTCTAGTCTAGTTCTCACCCAAATAACCATAATTGTTTGGGGCTAAAACTAATTTTCCTGGCCAGATGGACCATATAAACACAGCCATTGTGTTTCACTTTTATACTGCTAGTGTAAGTAAATTAAAAATTTGATGTTTCTAATAAAATTTTTAAAAATACTTAAAAAAGTGTAGGAATTCTCTCCTGTCAATTACAGGATTTTTTTTTTGATACAGCAATTCATATTTCTCCTTTACTTTAAAATGAATGGAAAACTGGGGAGAAGAATGAGCATAACACTTGTTACTTTCCCATAGCCCCAAAATCCAATTGGAATCAGTTTCCTGATCTTTGAAAATAACAGCTTTAAGATATTACAGAGGAGGTGCTTAAAGTATCTACATGTAGCACCCAAATCAAAATTTAATTTTGATATAATAATTGCAGTGTCTTTTCTCCCATTGATGGGTGATTGGTCAAGCTTTGGCAAAGACTGGGAAACACTGCAGCCCAAAGTCACATTTCCCATATAAGTTTTAAAATCTATAATGAATGACATTAGTAATGATGGCAGACATTATTGTTATCAATAATATATGAAGGCATTTATGTAATATAATTTATCAGATTGCTGTAGCTCCTATACATTGAGAGTAAGTTATCCAGAATAGTTCTTAAATGCAAGGACAATAATGCTTTAATACCTATATTAGAGAACAGAAAGCTTGTTGAACTTCTTCCTTTGGTTGAACAGGTGATAAATTTCCTGTAGTGCGACAATTTTTTATTTCATATTCTTTTATTTGTAGGAAATAAAACATGCAAAGACAAATCAGTCAATAACAGTGTAGATTAAATTATTAAACTAAAATTTTCAGTGTTATACAGCAAGCATTCTTTCATAAGCGACCCAAGTTAAACCTATATTTTTAAAGCAAAAAGAGAGATACAATATCTCTAAATGATACTAAAGTAAACATTAAATACACTTCAATATTTGATACACGTCCTGAACGTACATCTGAAACTGATCTGTGCTGTCCTCTTATTTGTACAGCAACTGGATGAGAGACAAATATCTTTTTTCCTTTACCAGAGAAAAAGTAGCAATAGTGAGTTGTGCATATTTTTTGAAAGATGGCCTTCAGAACATATAGTAAGGTGTAAAGAGCATGTGGGAGCAGATAGAATCAGGGCTTTGAAGCAGCAACAAGAACTTGGAAAAAGATAGTATAGTTTTGTTAACTATTTTTTTGTACAGACATATGCATATGCTAGAGGAACTCTTGAAAGTTTTAGTGAATTGTGGATACGTTACCATCCTACAGTTCAAACTATGGCAGTAAGGAGGGATTTTTTAGTTCTATTTCCGTAGAATTTTGTGCAAAATTTATTTCAATCTACTGTATATACAAACAAGGCAGCATTTGTAAGCCAAGAACAAAGTATTGTCTATATTTCAAAGTATAGCCCTCCTTATACTCAGATTTAGTATAGAGTCAGGTTGATGTGGTAATTAAGTCATCAGGCAAGAAACCAGATGATTATGAGTTCCAGTCCTGCCTTAGATAGGGAACTGGCTCAGTGAACTTGAGCCAATCACTCTCTCTCACCCCTAGGAAGAAAGCAGTGGCAAATGAGCATGTTGAAGTAAAATAGAAAAAGCAAGTCTGCCATAAAAATATCAAGAGCTAGACTGAATAAATTGACAGCATTGAAAAAAATGTGTTCTGATTTATTTGAAATACCTGAATGAATGGATAGATCTTTGCCTTGTGTCAAAATGTATTAAGCAGACGTCAGCAGATCATTAGCAATAAAGCATTGCAGAATTAGAACACTTCTACTGGGAATGCTTTATATATAATTAGATAGTTTCCTACCATAATTAAAACGCACAGTCATTTCCTCTACAATCTAGCTAGCCATGCTTCTGGAGGATAGTATTATACCTCTTAAACAATAGGACATCTTACATGAATCAGTTTTGAAGGATACTAAAATAATATTTTGCATGTCTACCATATACAAGAAATGGGACACATAGATTTTTTTTCAAAGCACATCTTAATGTTGCTAAGCTTTAAAAGTAAGTTCCTTTTTTGTTGTCAGTGGTATATTTTCTGAATTTTATATGAAAAGTTCGTTACCCATCTATAAATGATCCTACTGGAAGGCCATTCAGACTGTAGCAGTTATTTGTCATTTGTCATATAATTTATAGTATGTCTTCATATAATTACAACAAAGTATGTGTCATTGAATTCACTGTTTATTTCACAGATAAATAGAAGATTTTATCTTTAGTTTGTATATCTTAACTTTTCAAAGACGATTTAGGATACCACTCACCAAAAGAAAGAATTTTCTAATTCATAAACCAGCCACAAGTCAGTGACCAGCCACAAGTCCTTATATGGTAGAAACAAAATTATTGGATTAAAAAAAAGCCTTAAGTGTCATTGAAGATTGTCAGGAATGATAGTCACCTAACAGTTGGGTTGGCAATATATAAACCAGGATAGTCATTAATATTGTTGTATCTTTAAGAGAACGTTGTAATTGTGATTGACTGGGGTTCCTCCAACGGCCATCAGATGGAGCCAGAAACCTGGTTTGTTCTTTGCATTTCCTTTGCTTTCCTTTTGCTTTTTGCCTGATCGTCATTCTGCTTGAATTGCTGTGAGTCTTGCAACTGTTCGCAAACTCCGTTTACTGAACTTTGTTTATGATACCGGTAAAGAAAAGGACTTCATTTTTGGATTATCCCTGGACTGATTATTTTGAATACTAACTGCTTTAACCACGTATTATTTGGACTGTTTGTTGGACTTTGTTTACCCGTTTACAGGAAGTAAAACTTACATTTTACTATTCAGTGTATCTGTGTGCTGGTTGTTCGTTATTCATCACCACTCTCACTATATTTCCCTGAGTGCGCTTATTCTCCTAATGGGGAATACCTCAACAAGATGTTTTATGAATTGCATTTTGGTCAATTTATGAAGTTTTGAAAAAATTTAAGTAGCTTTTTGGTTTTGTTTTCAGGGTTTGCCTGGCCTTCCTGGAAGTATAGGAGATAGAGGGCCTTCAGGTGAACCAGTAAGTTCATTTCATTTCATTTGAAATGTGAAGTATAATGTATTGGAAAACATATATCTTGTTATGCTGTAATTAAAGATATATTAAAGAAGCAGCTTTATTTTTAGGCTAAAATTAAATGGCTCTTAGTAATTCTCTCTGTTCTATAGACTAAAGTAATTTTTTTCCTTCATTTCTTTAAGATAGAAGATTGTCCTCTTAAACTTGTCCACAAAAGCCTGAAAATCATGAAAGTGGTTATCTTGAGAGAGGGTGTCTTGCATTCACTTTAAAAAAAAATCCTTTTCTGGCCTTTTCTGTTCAGCTTTTGCCTCATCTTTTTAGACAGTGCTTATAGAGAACCCATATTTTATTCCCAAAAGATTACCCAACTGTAGTACATTTATATCAAGTATAAATAATAAAACACATATCTTCTGTGCTGCAATTTTACCTGTTCACAAACATACACTCTTCAAAATCAGTTAAGGATTTAATCTAGAGCAGGTGTGTCAAACTCACATTGTTACGGTGATGTATCAAGAATTTTTCCTCTTCGCTAAACCAGGCATGGGTGTGGCCAGCACGGGATGCATCTGGCCTGCAGGCTGGGAGTTTGACAGCCCTGATCTAAAGTGTCTCAGGTTTCTATAGTTAGCTGATGTGATTGTATATTTAATTTAGTCTCAGATACTTTGTTTAACTTTCTTATTAGATCTTAGAGGTTGAATAGAAAGTAAATTGTTTTTCTGAGTACGCAACCCACCTGTCAGTTAATATAAATACATTTGACAATGAATTTCAGCTGATTATTTAAGTCAGTATTTTTTCCAAACTTGGCAACTTTAAGAGGTATGGACTTCAACTCCCCAAATCCCCCAGCCAGCATGGAGAATTCTATGAGTTACATACTACATACATCTTAATGTTGCCAAGTTTAAAATCACTGATTTAAATTGAGTGACAACTTGAACAACAGTCTTTATGATAAAATACAGTAAGCAGTTTTTGAAAAATCTACATTTCCTAGGCTAGAAAAAAAAGGCTATAAATTGTTGGTGGCAGGTGGCAAGTATTGTCTGCTTAATTGTTCAAACCAATCTAAGAGAAATTAGGAGACCAGCAGAAATGTGTGGTTTGTCTCCACTGATTTTTAATTTCAAAATTCTGGTGTATTACTAATCTGTACCATTGGGAATAGTCAATTATTGTTTTGCTTGTGTGAGAATAATAAACATCTTTAAATAAAAATCTTATTTTTAAAACTTACATATAGAAACCATTACCTAGATTCAGAATTCTGTGCCACATTCATTTGTCTTACTGTGCATGGTTTCTTTTCTCCGTTCAAAACTAGAGAATCTTCTGTCAGAATTTAATCTATTAAAACAAAACCAAGATTCGGCCTCTTTCAAATGTATTTACAAAAACTGGTTGAAGTTACAGAGCATGAAGCAAGAAGAATATGAAATTCGTAATAAAATCAATATATTAAACTAAATGAAGTCTCATTTAAATCAAGGCCAGCTCCTGGTGATTACAGAGAGATATCCATGCTTGCAGTCACCAGTTTTGGGAATACTAAGGAAGTGGTATGCCTTTGCTATCTTTGAGATTTTTTTTAAATCCAAGCTATGTCCTAGTTATAGTATATCCATATAGCCCCCAATCCAAGAACAAGCCAAGCCTAAATCCACTTATTGTTTGATCCAAGAGAAGGTCAGGTAGATATTGCCAGAGCTTATCTAGCAGAGTTCCTGGTTTTGCTTATATAAGTGTATCAGAAGCAGTGTTGTGGACTTCAAAACTGGAAATTTCAAGGCATTGCCAGAAATCCCAAGTTTAGTAGACATCAACTTTTATTCTGAGGCTATTCTTTCAAATATGACTGATTTTTTAAAATAAATTCTACACTTATCATAGGCTTCTGAAAACATGTTTCAGAGCCTTCCCATGGGGCATTATTATCTTTCATTATTTCTTGATACTGTAGTCCAGAAGTTCATGAATCCACAAAGTTATATCCTTTCCATGAATGGTGTAAAAATGAAGGAAGTTGGCAAGATAATTTGCAGGTCATATGGAATTATGAAATCACCACTGAATGGATACCACCCAATCTAAGGAGAATGGTCAAGTTTGTTGTTTGAGACAGGAGGAAAGCCTAGAAGTTAAACCCTAGATCATAGAGATATATAGACAGATTGAGTTATGTGAGAATAGAGCTTCTACATGTATATAACTACATTCTTCTCTGTAATGCAGCTATGTCATGTCTCTAAACTTGTGCTGTGGGAATGTTATTGAATATGAAGCTACGTGTTTTTGAGGGTTCAAATGTAATGTTATGCCTAATAAGAAGACTTGAGAAATATTCCATTGCCTGATGATGATTGGACTATTGTAACAAATCCTCTTTAAGAGTGGGGACCATATTAAATTATTCTACTCTCAGAAGCTAATGGAACCTGGAAAAAAGGAAATATCCAGCTGGGAGAAAAATGTCTTCAAAAAACTGGCCAGCTGATATTATAGGTATATAAGTGGTTTTTTTTTTTCATAATAAGAATGTAATGCTCACGTAAATTTTTGTTTTGATACTAGGGACCGAGGGGAGAACAAGGTGATGCTGGTCCTGTAGGTGAAGCTGGCTTTGAGGTGAGTCTTTTACCTCACCAAATGATGTAGACAAGCAAAACTGAAGATCCTGCTGCATCAAAGTAAAAATTATAGAAGCCTTTAAAAATTTAATATTAGCCTTTAATATTGCACCATAGTAGAAAAAGATATTATACCAAGTATTTCATTCATCACCCCAATAAGACCTAGACCTGTGAACCTCCTAGTAAATTTCATCATGATCGAAAGCATTTAGTACTGGACAACGGATAACTCCATTTATCTTTTCAATACAGGGATCACCTGGCCCAGAGGGAGAGCCCGGACCACAAGGAGAACCAGGCACAAAGGTGATTGTTGGAGTAATTTTGTTGGGGTGCAGTTTGAATGATGAGAAAAACAGGCTGTTATTTCTCTACACATATCTTTGGGATATTTCCTGATGATACTTTTTATATGCAGTCTCTATACATAAAATATTTATTATTTCCACTAGAAACATTCTGTCTGAAACTAGCTATGATGTTTCAGTTAAATTGGTCCAACATTAGGTGGTGTTGTCATTTCTGCATCTGTTCATAGGAGTCACACTTAGATAGATACAGATATACAGGAAACCTGGTGACACCAGAAAATATGGATTCAGAGAAGAAAAGTCCAAGTATTTTCTAATTCACACTCATAGCTTCACACTACACAAGCCCTCCCAGCTTCTCCTTCCAGTCAACAAAGAGAGCATGGCCAGTCAGTCTTTCTGAAATTAGGATAGAAACTGCAAGCTACATACATACATACATACATACATACATACATATATACATACATACATACATATGCAGGAACCTCTCAATCTCGCAATAGAAAAAGAAAAAGACATTTTATAAATAAGAAATAGGCAGCAGAAACCTTCAAGTAAAAAAACGACTGGAAGAAGGCAGGAAGGAAGGAAGGAAGGAAGGAAAGGAAGGAAGGAAGGAAGGAAGGAAAGATCCAAGTGTCAGGATCTAGCAAATGTTCTTGTTCCTCTCATTGCTTCATCTTTATAAACGTAGAGTTCAGTCATCAAGGAATTCAAGGCTACTATATAAGCATTTGTTTCAACCCTGCTATGTTAATTAGCCCTCAGGGTTGTGTAGAGAAGCTTCATATTATATCATTACTTGATTGACAAGTTTATGTCTGGCTTAGTTAAGAATGAGGCATCTTTATCTTTCCACTATAGTTGGCATTTGTATTTGCAGAAAGCTATGCATTATAATACTTGTAACATATCTGCCTTTCCACTTGCTCTTTATTTGTGGTGAAAAACAATATAAAGACTAATTCATGCTTCAGAAATGAGTTCATTTTATAAAGAGCAAACTTTAGATATCTATTGTAGCAAACTTAGAGTTTTGTCCTTTGATCAGAATAGTAGTCACTCAGTGTGATATATTTCTGTTGCATTTAACAGGGAGATTCTGGACCAGTTGGCAATATTGGAGCAGCAGGTGAACAAGGTATAAGAGTAAGTACTGAATATTGTAGCATATTTTGTTACAAGGGGCAGAATTATATTGGAAATGCCAAAGGGCTATGTAAATTAGGAAAGCAGATAAGAAATGAAAAAAGTCTTTGCTATATCAGGATCATGTTCGTTTAAAGAAAAATTTAAAACTACAGAAAGAAAAAATAAGGGTTCTTGGAGATCTTCTAATGATCCAACCCCTTGCTCAAGCTGGAGACCCTATACCATTTCAGACAAATGGCTTTCCAATCTTTTTAAAAAAAATCTCCAGAAATCTCCCACAATTTCTGGAGTCAAGTCATTCCACTGGCTGATTGTTTTCAATGTCAGGAAATTTATCTTTAGTCCTAGGTTTTCTCCTTGATTAATTTCCATCCATTGTTCCTTGTTTTGTCTTCAGGTGCTTTGTGGCAGCCCCTCAAATATTAGGACATTGCTCTCATATCACCTCTAGCACTTCTTTACATTAGATGTAATATGTTTTAATTATATAGCTTAAAGGTTCATAAAGTTGGACAGGAGTCTTTAACTTAGCATTCAGGCTAAGTTAAAGTACTCCAGGCTTATGGCTAACTAACCTTAATTTAAACGCATCCAGTGAAAGGGAGATGATCACTTGTCTGGCTAATTGGTTTCAACATTGAACTGCTATTGCTGCCGAAAAGGATTTTTGTTTCCCATAACAGTCAAAATCTGCCATCTTGTAACTTCTTTTATTTTGTGTATTTCACTCTGAAACATTAGCAAATAGGTCTACTATAGATACAAAGTGACAATAGATCAAGATAATCTGAATTATAAGAGCTGCAGCATATGTTTATCTGAAGTAAATTTTTCATGTTGAACATGATGGTAAGCTTCCTCTAATAGTCCATAACTTTGTTTTGCATATACATTTGCAATTACTGAGTAAATTAATAATACTCAAAGAATAGATAGCAACTTGAAGTCAGAACACTAGTTCAAGCAGTAACCCAGAAGTAGTGCAGGTTACAGGGTTGTAACATTCAGGGTTGGTATATTTTTGTTATAATTGTTTTCATAGCATACCTATACAAAGTCAAATCACAGTTGCCAACTGGGAAATTGTGTTTACTAGTTTGGATGTATTGTTAGAAAATTGTTTCGAAATGTGCTACCTGACCAGAAGATTGGAAAGGTAAGCAAGAGTGGAACAGATCATCCTCCAAGGGGGGAGGTCTAGAAAGCACAACAGATAACAGTCTGATAAATTGGTGGCTTGTAAATGATTACATAACTGGCAGTGATTTTGTGAAGGGGTAAGCCTCCAATTTCACTGCCATTTCCAAATTTATCTGGAAAACAGGTGTCAAACTCACCGCCTCACGTTGCCATCATGTGATGTTTCATGATGTTTTTCCCTGTCATGGAGCTGGGGTGGGCGTGGCTTGCAGATGACGCATGAGCCCATGGGCCACCAGTTTGACACCTCTGATCTAGGATATCTCAAAATGTCATGAATCCTAAGAGGTTGCAAACTCCCGATTCTTTACATGAAAATGTTTAGTGTATTAATCTGTTACCTTTTTTAGTAGGACACAGCAATTACATTTTAATGAGGACAATAATATGATTCTAAGGTGAACTGAGTTTACAAGCACCATATAACAACTATCCATTTGAAAATATAATAGAAACCAATTAAGAGAGATTTGAGTATATCTATATACAGATATATAACAGATAGGTAGGTAGATAGATAAATTTGTAGTCTTAGTTTCCATAAAATATTATCTGTTTTTTCTAAAAGTATAAAATATAAAAGACTGCGGTTTATTGTCAACTCCAGAATGCTAAACTGTTTTAGAAAAGTGAAAGGAATATTCTGCTTGCCAGTGAAGATACTCCCTTTCAAGTCAAATTAAAAATATGAGGTAGTGCTACAGAAATGTACCATTTATTTAGTGTCTGTTAAGCCCTTCTTTAAAAGTTGATCTTCCAGTTTATCTTCCTCTACCTCCATGTACACACATTCACTCCAATATCAGGAAGCTTAAATCTACATCCCCCTGTCATACAGTGTTGTTCTGGTTGTTTGCTCTGCGCAGCTTGTTTTATATCACTTTCAGACAACTTCTTGTTTGTGACAGCTGCTGTGTCGTTCAGTATTAAAACAGAACCATATTTAGATTCAGAATAAAGTTAATTGTGAATCATTTCAAATGCATGGATTTCAGCATCTCGGTATATTGGAAGTGCCGGGCAGACCAAGGTTAAACAAAAAGACAAATCTGTGACCATAACAATATCTAATACTATTCAGCAAATCTTTGTGTACTGGCACCATTATTAAAACTGCTGAATCCTTGACTCTTTTAGTCTGATTTGTTCGCTATTTTGTTGAGGTAATGTACTTTTGCTTGGGTTTTGAATACAGAAGATTTTTGGTACTAATAGCATTTTAACATTTCTTTTGAAACCTAGGGTATTCGAGGACCACCAGGAGAAGATGGTGTTCAAGGAAAAGATGGATTAAAGGTACTTTTTAAAATCAGAAATTATACTTACGTGAGATAACTATTGCATTTTATTCTGTGATTCCTAAATTTAAATTATCTTTTAAGTCAGTGCATAACATTTCTGCTGCATCGGCATTGCATATTCTCAAGTTGGAAGATTGCATAAGAGAAGTTGCATTTGCTAGAAGAAAGCAGAGAAGCAAAAGGCACTCAATTGATCTCTTAGTAGTAACTGTGATGACCCGGGGCATGGCACAAATGCAACACAGTCAAATAAGCAAGAAGTGTCCCTTTAGTACCTCCAACTTTGCCCCCCAATGTCCAGGTTACCTTCGGCTGAAGAAAAAACTCTCCCAAAAACAGTCTTTAAGTGGAGGAAATTCAGTCCGAAAACAAAGTACATACAAACTGTAAATAAAAATCCACACAAACCACGCTGCAGTAATTAACTTGACAGGGTAGGAGAAGGAATCGCAGGCTTGAAAGCCCAGCAAAACACACACAATTGGGAAGGTGCCAGGAACCCAGATAAGCCTCGACGATACCAGATAATTCATGATTTGCTCCCAACAACTTTGCTGTGCGCAGCTTCCTTTTTTAAACATTGTGTTCCCAGCTGCAGCTAATGAAGGGAATCAGGGCTCTTTCCTCCTCCGTAAGCCCCACAACTCACATTTCTCCCTTCTCCATTCTTCCCTGCGTGCCCTAGGATGAAGAGGGGGAGGGCCTGGGTCTTCCTCCAAATTCCCTCTCCCTTGCTGTACCTCTCCCCTGCTCTGCCCAGCCAGCCTTTGCCCTTCCCCAGTTTCATTCACAGCCAACAGAGCTACAGTCCCACTCCCTGTCAGCTGCTCAGCCTCCCCCTCCAAATCAGATTCCAACAGGGGCATGACACTAATTCTGCTTAAGTATCCTCATGCTATCCTTCCTCATATTGTGAAATATATCTCAAATAGTCTATAGATTTATTGATATTATAATTCTCATAGAAAGACTCTCAAATCAAACTCAGCTGCTAGTTAGAGAAAACTAAACAATTTCCTATTCAGACATAGAGAAATGATTTGTCACTGTGTTCCTCCAAGATGTTTTTGAACTTCCTAATCCTGTGATGGCAAATCTGGCACGTGTGCCACAGGTGGCACACAGAGCCATTTGTACGGGTACACGAGCCCCAGCCAAACTTACCTGCACTGCGCATGCGTGTGCCTCCCACCTAATTTTTGGGCTGTTTGAGGCAGTTTTCACCCTCCCGGAGGCTCGAAAAAAGCCTCTGAAGCCTAGGGAGGCCGAAAAACAGGCCTTCTGGAAATACCAGAAATGCTAGTTTTCAGCCTTCGCCGGGCCTCTGGAGCCCGGGGGAGGCCATTTGTGCTTTCCCGGGGGCTTGAGGAAAGCCTCTGCAGCCTTTAGAGGCCGAAAAACAGGCTTTTACCATCAAAGATACGGCAAAACTGAAGTACATTTTGCAGATGTATTATATGGAAATGATGTTATTGATGCCATACTTGTTATACATATGTGTTACTTCTTATCCCTATCCTAGACCTACGTGAAGAAAACATTTTACCAAGCCCTTGTTGCATAATTGTAATGTTCAGTAATTTAATGCTTTCCTACTTGATGCTTTTTATTTATATCTCTGCTTTAGGGCAGTTTAGGAGACCCTGGCCTTCCTGGAGAAGATGGTGAAAAAGGAAAAATTGGAATTCCCGGGCTTCCTGGCCCTCCAGGTGAAGCTGGAATCAGAGGCATTCCAGTAAGTAAACTCAGAATTTAACAAAAATATAAACCCAATTATTGTGAAGAATCTTAGTCTTAATAATTTACCCAACTAAAGGTGTCCTAAAGGTTCATAAAATGAAAATACACTGTTCATAAGCTGTGAAGTCATTTGTGCTACTAAATTATAGTAATATATCACACAATACGGTCACTGTCAAAATTGCAGCATTATCTGGAAGAATGAAATTGGAGAAATAAATATCATGATCTGAATAATAGAAAATACATTTTTCAAAACAAAGATAATGGAAAAAAATATTTGAAACTTATTACATTTAAGTAAAGGCCACCCTTACCCAGAGAATATTTCCCTTAAAAGATTTGAAAGGCATGACTAAAATTATGAAACAAATTTCTGATTCCATATGAACTGTTTTTGGATGGGGTTCTCTCTTCAAACAGCAATGATTAATTTTATTTTCTGGCATAGTAAGAATATGGAATTGATTATTTTTGACATTTATGTAGGTCATATAACGACTTGAGATTATAAAACAGGAGCATTCATTTTGTTGTTCTAGTTTTCTTAGTTTTGCATTTCTGATTGAGATACCATAAATCTATCACACTCAATATATGCACAGAATGTGTTGTAGGCACACATATCAAGTGTTAGGCTTCAAAACTTTAAGTAGGGCTTTAAAAGATTTTTTTTTAATCTTGAAATGATAGTTTTATCACAATTTTTGGCCTCTACAATAAGGAGTTTTTTTTATGTAAGAAGCATCAGTGATTATGTCACCATTGTAGTATGTTACCTAACATGATGCATAATATTCATGCTTATGTTTTCTATTATAAAGAAAAAGTCAGAGTGATTACAAATAACGATTCTGTCTACAAACTGTATCAGCTATTGTCCATTTCTAATTTTTGTGAAATATTATTGATTGGTTTATGGGTTTAAAACATTTATATCTCACCTTTATTCTCAGGGATAATAAAAAAAAACCCCAGACATAAGATGTGTGGAAAGTGAAAAACATAGTAAGAGTGGCACCAATTCTTTTTTAAATGTTTCTTTTAAAATTAACTATGAACAGGAATGATATGAGAAAAGATATATGCATAAAAACACACATTATAATGGATCACAATTACGTGCAAGAACTATCAAAGAAAATATTCAAAATAAAACTTTCCATAATAAAGAATGTGTTTGGTTTAAGGTCTCGTCTTTACCCAAAAATTGTCTCCTTGATTTCTCTTTTGGTTAGTTTCCCAGAGCTGGTCCATACTATTCCATTATTTCCAAAATGGCAATATGTTATAAAAATAATTTGTTATAAAAATTATATCTTGGAAACAGGTTTAAGTCCATTCTTAGCCATGGAAGTCATGAGTGTCTTTGAACCAGTTGCTGTTTCTTCCTAATCTGGAAGAAAGTCAGGGTATAACAAATAAATAGATTTAGGGTCAAATTAAATGAAACACTAGTTAAACAATTAGAAATTGTATCAGTAGCTTTAAAAATATTGGAGTTTTTGGCTGAGGAAACCATCTGGATGTAGATTCAAATAGTGGGTAACCTATGTTGGAGTTTTCAGTATAGATAGTCCTCAACTTATGACCAGGTTAGCAAATGTTTAAAGTTATGATGGACCACCACCACCCACCCCTAATAAAGGCATTTGCAACTAGGATTTGAAGTTCCAATGGTTGCTCTCCCTTCCCCTTCTGTCACATGATTGCATTTTGTGTGCTCTGCAACTGGCCTGCATTTATTGTTGTTTATAGCAGGAGTCACCAACCTATTTTAAATCCCAGGGACCACTAATCAGTTTTGTGGGTGTGGCCTAACTTGTGGGTGTGGCTTGGTGGATCATGTGACTGGCTGGGCATGGCTTGTATGTAAATATAAATATTTATATAAATATTGTTTTTTTTATAAAAAAAGAGCAACTTTTACCCAAAATCAGGCAAAGCAGACAGGCAGATTGAGTTGCTCACAGAATCATTCAGTGATCTATCTATCTGCCATCGGCTATCTGAGTCTGTCACATAAAATTTGCTTGCTGTGAGTTTGCACTGAATAGTAGAACCTTCAGTCCTAAGGGAGGTTTGGCTGTACTTAAAAGCAGAGCCGAAGATCTAAAGACTAACTAGAAAGCAAGAAATCCAACCATTTCCTGCATCCTAGCTTATCTAAATCTCCAAGCAAAGCAGAACAGCTGATGGTCGGAAAAAGGAAAAATAGCAATTTAGCAGGCAAGTTTGCTGGGTAAGGAGTGAGTGGGCGGGGAGGGTTCCCACGGGCCACGTGGGTGGCGCAGCCTTGTGTTTCTATGCAAACTGGATTAATTGCTTTGGGGGGTGCTCTGGGGGTGAGATTTCTCTGTGGCCCACCAAAATTTCCTTGCAGACCACTGGTTGGCAACCGCTGGTTTATAGCATGTGTTTTTTACTGGCATCTACTATGGGTTTTCAACAAAAGCTGTCCATTGCAGACAATGCAACACTCACTTAACAACCACCACATTTCTTTAACGAATTGCTGCAAAAAATGTTGTAAAATCATGTTGTAAACATGGGTGCCTTGATTTATGATCAGCGTGACATACAACAGAAAGTCCAGATTCTGTTAAGGTCATATGTCAAGGCTTATCTATAGATGATTTGTGGCAACTGTTTGCATTTGGAGATAAAGCAATTGAATGGGACCTGTAGGGCCCAAAAGTTTTCCCCCTGTACAAGACAAAATTGTGATCCAGGAAACAATCCTGTATTTTCCATTTGATTTTTAACAACCATCCATCTGATTTATAGCTGTTGAAGTGGTACCTCATCTAATTTGTCAGTAAGTTTGGCTGATATCTCAGGATCTGACACAGTTTAATAAAAACCAGAAGCATTCTGCTGTGCTTGCTTTGAATAAACTATTGCAGAGAAAAAACTAAAATAAAACCCTTATCTAGCTGCATACTTTGTTTGTTTGTTTATTGTAGCAAGGGGCTCAATACAGAGTTTTCTTGTGAGGCAACTATCGACTCTAATCCAGCCATTAATTTTTTAGGAAACTGTGTCTGCTGGAAACATGTTTTACTTATTATTTGCTGCAGTATTTGTTTTTCTAATATGATAGTCATCAGTTTCTGTGTAATGCAAAATTAAGTATAGCCATGAAAATCTGGTAGTATGAGTGAGAAATGAAATATAGTTCAAAATGCATGTTATCAAAAAAAATTCAACATGGCTTTAAATAATCCCCCAAATAGGAGATTTTCAGTGAGTGGTTGTTGTTTTTTACTGTGTGGATCCTGCCATATGGTTGGGAAAAGGCAGACAATTATGAATATATTTATCCAGGAAGTATGGATCCAGTTTTAGGCTGTAACTCTTTGGCTTTGAGGAGGATCAGTTTTATTGGATTCTTGGAAATGCAGAGAGACAATAGCCATCTGCCGCTTCATATTGTTTCAGAGGGAAAAATAAATAAATCAAGCTGGTGTCTATGTACATATGTGCGCATTTGTTTAAAAATGTTCTTCATTCCTAATTTTGGCTCTACCCAAATACAAATAATCAGTCAGAATAAAAATAACTAAAACTCCAGCTTAAAAAAGGGCATCTATAAAGTCTGGATGAAAAGAAACCCATCCAACACTGCTTCAGCACAAGATAGTTCCATTGACTGGATCACGAGTGTCAAACTCTTATCGCGTCACAGGCCGGATTGTGACATATTGCGACATTTTTGCCTTTGCAAAGCCAGGGGCGTGGCCTCCGTGTGACATATCCAGCCCACAGGCCACTAGTTTGACGGGCCTGCACTAGATCCTATCACATAAAAGGTGGGGAAAAGTTGGACGGAGTGAAATCAGTGCTACTGCAAATAATTTGGACAGAGTTCCATAGGAGTTTGTAAGCCATGGTAAATAGCTTGGACTAAGCTTAGAAAACTGTTTCAATACGGAGATGATGCTATCCTTTCTGAAGCACCACTCACCACTGATTCCACTTTCCAAACTATCTTTCAAGGGCACTTCACCAAAAGGGCCTCAATCACCAATACTAGGTCTCTTTGTTCTAGCAACATTTAGCTTATTACTAAAAGATAAGCTTCTGTCACACCAGTGTCTGGGAGATCTCCCAAGGTATGAACCTGATCTATTACAATGAGTTATCTGTTCAGATAAGTGATATCTCCCAAATCCTGCAAACCACTCACCTGAATAAGTAATAACTCTATGTTTTCAGATTCATATTTTCCCTCACTTAGTCCTTTACAGCCAAGGGACATGAAGATGATGGTAAGTGGATCGCTTCTGGCAGCCCGAAAGGAAGTGTATTATCTGGACCCTTTCCAGTTGAGATTCTAGCTGAGTTAATATACTGATACTGCATTGTTGCACTTGTTGATGACTCTGAAAGGTTTAAGAGAAGGATGATGCATCCATTTCTGACTTTCTAAGATCCTCAGTAGCTTTTGATACCATTGACCATGAAAATCTTCTGTACTGTCTTTTGGAACTTGGAATGGGCAGCATTATTCTGCAGTGATTGTTGTCTTCTTTTCTGAGACTACTTCCAGTTTGTCTGGGTGAGGGAAAGAGGCTTCTTTTATTTTGGGGAAAGTGTTTAAAGGTTTAACTCTCTCCAGTTCTATTTCATATCTAAACTGCTTGATAAAGATATTCATGGAATACCTGGCAAGACCCAGTGCTGGATTTGATAACTCTTCATCTTTAATTGAGAGTAAATCTACAAATGTGGCCTCAGATTTATCTCCCTTTATTTTAACTACTGTAGGGTCCTGAGGGAACTCAAGGAAGTCCAGGTCAAAGGGGTCGTCCAGGAAAGAAGGTAAGTGGTCTTCCTTTTTTTATCTTGAATTTGGACAGAAAGCAAATTATTTTTCATTAAGGATTCAATATTAATAAATATTGCTCATTTTAAGAGTAGAGTGACGTGGTGGCCTGGTGGTGAGGACAGTCACCTTTCATTTGGAAGGTTGGGAATTCAGTCTTAGGTTGTGGCAGATGCTTCTTTCTCAGGGTGCAAAGAGAAAATACCTGCTGTAAATTAAATTTAGGCATCAGGAAGGGCATCCAACCATTAAATACTCAGCTCCATCCTGTTGCCCCAATTCTACCCTAAATTAAGGGATTACAGGGTCATAAAAAGAAAAAAGTGCTAGTTTTAAGAATATATATATATATCTTTGGTTATTCAAGTTTTCTCCTGCGTAAAATTGGAAGTATTTTGGTGACGTTTCGACAAAATCTCATTCGTCAT